TTGCTTAATATAATCACGTTACCCACCGAACTCCATGCGATTGTTATGCTAAGTAAACAACAGCTAAATACCAGCCACAAGCAATGTACATCGCATGGAGTTTTGACCGGTAACATGATTATATTAAACAAGGTTTTTTTTGTGCTGAAGCAAATTTGATGCTTGAGCAGCTCTATGTAATTGGGCCCTTAGGTGTCCTGTACTTGTACATTGTACCGGGCTGCTCTGGTGCATGTACATGTAGGCAGATCATGGATCGGTGTATTACAGTTTATAAAAAGTTTATGAGGATAACCTTGATGGGTTATTCCAGTATGAATGCCTTGCTAGCAGTTGCTCTAAATAATATTTGTTGTTGGGTGTTTCACTACTGCAGAAAGTTTTAAATCATTGAATGTGCCAAAAATATGAGCAAAAATGTCATTCGGACGTAGCATTTGTCACTGTAAGCACCGCTGAAGAACGAGACTGGAAGTCTGTTTTGAATTCTGGACCCCATTTTATTTGCATACCCCTGATGCAGGTGAAAACTAAAGGAAAATACAAAAATTCATATTAAATAATACAATCACATAAACATCAAAATACACGATTAAACAATTACATCAATAGGTTTAGAGAGAATATTAGACCAATTGTGAACGGGCAGCACCTTATCGACAATATACTCGGTTGCGGAGGAGTCAACAATTAATTTTAATAAAATACAATTAATCCAATGAATTATTTAAATAAAGAAACCCACTGATATTAAACTTACAATTGTTCCCCGGGTAAGGAATCATCAGCACACAGTGAGGTATATGGTTTAAACAGTTGTTGGGTGATCAGGGATTTACGGCGGCATTCTGGGGTGCTGTACAAAATAATGTGAATAGCAAATAAATAAACATACCACAATGAAATATAATTCACAGATATAAATTATATAATAAATTGACATCCCCAAAAATCTGTACTTTCTATTTCCATATACTGGGGTGAAGGCCTATAAAATATGGGCGTTGGCTCTAAGGAATCTTAGGTGTCCACTTCTGGGACTCTCTTACCTGTTAAACCTTACATTTGCATATTTCTCTAGCCTAAGGCTGCCAATCGCTAGCGTTTTATACCACAGTAAATAGCGCCCTCAGCGCCCAGGCCCTCAGTACCTGTATCAGTCTGGTACCCTCGTCCTCTTTTTCTCTAGCGCTCACACGAGTGAGACGTAGATTTCTTAAGCTCTCGAAGGATTTGCCTTTTTCTTCCGTATATCGCTAAGTATTGATTAAAGTAACATTAAAATTAGTTGTACACAAAGTGTGTGTCGTCTTTTCATTTCTTGTGAAGAAAAATACCACTCCTTAGATATTTTCTTTGCCGTTTTCGTTACTGGAAAATCACCAGTTCTATCGTTTCGTTGTAGAATCATGGCGGAGTCACGCAAGATTAAGCACGGCATTACCCCGCCCAATTTTGTTACGTGCGGCGCTTGTCGCCACATTAAACCCCGGGCACGTGTGGACGCTCATGATTTATGCCCACGTTGCCGTTCATGCACCCCAGAAAATACCTGCGAGGTATGCCATACTTGGGGAGAAGACGAGTGGGACGCAGTTTCGGCTTGGCTTAATTCACGGTCGCCATCGGTGGACTCGGCCGTGAGTAATTCTCCCGGGTCATCACAACGCAAACGATCGACCAAAAAAAAATTGGGTACACCTTTACACCGGGGACACGCTTTCCGGGCCTCTGGCCCCCGCTAAGAATACCAAATACGCTGGGGCTGCGCCTTCCGGGCCTCCAGTCCCCATACGTACTTCAGACAGCAACCGACCAAGCCACCCATGTACCGGAGACACGCTTTCCGGGCCTCTGGCCTCCGGTACACCGGGTGCAGGGAATAGGGCTACGCCTGCCGGGCCTCTAGCCCCTACTCCCGGTAAAAAGAAAAGCAAAAAATCGGACCACGCCGCCGGGTCCGGAGCTATGCCTTCCGGGCCTCTAGCCTCCGGTGCCCCGGAGAGGGATAACAGGGTGGCTCCTTCCGGACCCCTAGTCCCGTCTTCCGGCAAAGCGTGCGGTAAGAAAGTGGGCCGAACCGGGGACGAGCAGACGTCCTCCGCACCCTTAGCCCCCGAGACGAGACGATCCGGGTAATTTCCGGGATACAGATCCGACCCAGATGGAAACCGGGTCGCCCGGGACTCACCGGAGCCGGAGAGATACGGTTTTGAAGGGTAAGCACCGCCATCACAAGAAACTCCGGCGCCGTTATTATAGCTCCAGTTCCTCTTCGGTGGAGTCCGTCTCGAGCTATTCTTCGGGCTCCCGACGCTCGCGTCGCCGGAGCTCTCGATCCAACAACATAAAAAAAATGTTGTTACAGGGTTTCCAGCAATTATCGGCTACGATAACATCGTTGGTTCCTAAACCGATTGGGCAAACTTCGGTTAACGAACCCGTTACTGTTAGCCCTTCACAGGATCATGAGTCCGGTGATCAGATGTCAGTTTTTCCCTCCGATAATTTATCTTCGGATTTTGACAACCGTCCACGTCCCCGTGCAGCCGTAGACAAACAATCGGCTTCAGCTGAGGGTCACAAAGATCAATTCGCTGAGCCCGAGTGCCGGGAGGAGGGCGAAATGCCCAAACTTCCCACGGTCGTCTCGTCCGATGACGAGTCTGCCATTTCGTTACCTCTTTCTGCTTCTGACCAAAGATTACGGGTTTTGATGAAAGACATGGTCAGAGTGCTCAACATATCACCGGCCGACGACCCGACGCCAGATGAAAGTGGCCGCCGATCCTACAAAAAACGTACCGGCCCGGCTGAATTCCGGGACTCAGGATTTCCTGGTCTTTCTGATTGATCGGTCTTGTGCCGATCGGATCAAGACATTAGCGGCGGTAAAGAAATGGCGCCCTCTTGCGAAGAGAGATACACGGCCGTTTCGGGTACCGCGGTCTGATTTTGAGGAATTTCTTTCAGTCCCGGCTATGTCAGATACAGTCAAAGATAAAATCGCGGCCGATTCTACTGGCCGTACGTCACGTAAATCTCCATTTGTCAGCCGTGAAAGAAATAAAATGGAGGATACTCTTGCAAAAGTTGACACAGCATCCCGAGCAGGGTTGCGAGTGTCTTGTTTTCTGCAACTATTGTCTGAGTTTCTTGTCTGTCCGTGTGAAGCAGACTCTCCAGTATCTCCTGAGACAACAGAACTAGCATTTCGTTGCTTGGACGATTGTCTCCGTATTTGCATGGACCAGTTTGTCCGAGTTTCCATGTGTGCTACTACAGCTCGTAGGGCCAATGTTCTGGATGCCATTTTTCTCCCATCAGAGGGAGCAAGGGCACGCCTTGAATCACTTCCCCTTTTGGGAACAGATTTGTTCAATGGGAAGTTTCAAGAGGCCATGGAGGCCGAGGCCAAACGTTTGGAGGCTAAACGTTTGGAGGCTACAGACAAAATAAATCTGCGAAAGCCTACAAGGGCAAGCACGACATCTGTTAGGGGGAATAAACAACCTGCTAATACTGGTAGCCAGCGGTTTCCCCGTAAGCCTTAATTTGAAGCCCTTTCGTGGGCGTGGCCGAGCCTTCACATCCAAACCTAGTCCACAGGATCCGGATAAATCAAATCCATCCAGTACAGTGCTGTGGCCTCGTGGTTAAGGGCACTGATTCGTGGTCTGCGGGTAAAGCTGCAGGTTGTGGGTTCGAGTCCTGGCGGGGTCATGGTGCGTGTGCACTTGGGCAAGGCACTTTGTCACTCATTGCTTCTCTCCACCCAGGAGTAAATGGGTACCTGTGAGGGCAGAGATGGTTATTGTGATTGAATTAGCTACCTTGCGCCTAACAGGCTGCATCGAGCTGTATACTCCCCAGGGAGCTGAGATGGTATTTGGAATGTTTCATGTGCCCAATGAGCAGGGGTAATAATGATGTAGCGCCTTGAGCACCAGTCCTGGTGGATACGTGCGCTTTATAAATAGCCAATATTATTATTAATATTATTATTATTCACCGGTTCGCGAGAGCGCACCTTTCGACCCTCATACACTCCCTGGCCTAAATCAAGTTATGGAGGCTACCGCCGGGGATCCTGGCGTAAATGACTATTCAACTACCACGGCCTACTACACAGGGCCAGTAGGAGGCCGTCTCAGACATTTCGCAGAGATTTGGGCCCTTTCCTGTCAAGACAAGTGGGTACAGGACACCATAAGGCAGGGGTATGCATTAGAATTCACAAGCACACCCCCATCGGGCTTTACTCCACATCCAACTCCCATTCCAACAGACAAGCAAAAACGCCTTGCACTGGAAAACGAAATTCAAACCCTACTCCAGAAACAGGCAATTCACCTGGTTCAACGGGGAGATATAAGGCACGGATTCCACTCGTCATTCTTCCTAACACCAAAGAAGAACCCAGGCGAGTGGTGTCCTATACTGAATCTGAAACCCTTAAACAGGTATATTCGGCCGAAAAGATTCAGGATGGAGACGCTGCGTACAGTCCTCGAGGCTCTACCGGTACCAGCTTGGGCATCCTCACTAGATTTACAGGATGCATACCTACATGTCCCAATTTCAAAGGACCATGTTCACTTCCTTCGGTTTCAGTACCACGGAAAAACTTACGAGTTCAGTTGCCTTCCATTCGGCCTTTCAACAGCCCCAAAGGTGTTTACCAGAATAGCAAAAACTGTTGCATCAATTCTGCGGAAAAGGAACATTCAGATTTTTGTTTACCTCGACGATTGGCTCGTCGTGGGCTCAACCAGAGAGGAGACTCTAAGGGCAATCAGACTAACGCAAGAACTAACAGTCCGGTTGGGTTTTCTGATAAATCAGAAAAAGTCTCATCTGGAACCTTCCACACGGCCAGTCTATTTAGGGGCCGAGTTGGATCTCCTGCAGGGCGTAGCTGTACCTACTCAGGAAAGAATTCACAACCTAATAGAGTGTGTAACACTTTTTCTGCCTGCCAAAATAGCCCCGGCCATAGCATGGTTACGTCTTCTGGGGCTCATGGCAAGTATGGTGGACATAGTCCCGTGGTGCAGACTAAGGATGCGACCCATTCAGCTCCATCTTCTTGCCCACTATCGGCCAAAACTGCATTCAATAACTCATCTCGTACCAGTCGTTCAAGATATTCAACCACATCTACGTTGGTGGCTGAATCCATCCAACCTCAACATAGGTCTGTCTTTCATTCCAACCAAACCGAAAATGACCTTAATAACGGATGCTTCCAACCACGGCTGGGGGGCGCATCTCGGCACAGAACCAGTTGCGGGGAATTGGAACCCAGACGAGAGGGTCCTCCATATCAACGTTCTCGAGCTGCTGGCTGTCAGAAAAGCACTGATCCACTTCCAGCGCACAATAAAAGGTCATGCAGTGCTAGTAAAGTCCGACAACTCCACCGTTGTCTCCTACATAAACCGTCAAGGAGGCACACGGTCCCCTCAGCTTTGTCTTCACACTTGGGATCTCCTAATGTGGTGCACCACGAACGACATAACGTTGACGGCACTTCACATTGCTGGCAAGCTGAACCTCATGGCAGATGCTCTCTCCAGGGGGAAAATAATCCCGACAGAATGGACGCTACATCCAACGGTAGTCCAGAACATTTTTCAAAGGCTCGATCGCCCGCACATAGATCTGTTTGCATCAGCCCTCAACAACCATCTGCCGGTATACTGCGCACGAAGTCCCGATCCCCATGCGTGGGCAATGGACGCCCTTTCCATAAGCTGGACAAACATGTTCGGATACGCATTTCCACCAATCTCTCTCCTTCCGAAGGTCCTGAGGAAGATAGAGTCGGATCATTGCAAAATAATCCTCATCGCCCCATTCTGGCCTCGTCAGCCTTGGTTTCAGAGGATAGTCAATCTTCTGATTCACACACCAATAATACTCCCTCAGAGGGTAGATCTTCTTGCTCAACCCCGCTCCAAAATTCTACTGCCAGAGCCAGAGACACTTCACCTGACGTGTTGGCTATTGTCGAACAGTCTCTCCGAACAGCAGGACTTTCGGCAAACGCTGCCACCATTGCTGCCCAAAGTCGTAGGGCCTCAACACGACAGTCATATAATAGCCGACTACGACATTATTATAAATGGTGCAGAGACAAGTCTATTGATCCATCCACAGCATCTGTAGGACAAATCAGTGATTTCCTCATGGAACGGTTTACACAAGGCCTCTCCGTTTCCACAGTTCGAGGCTACCGTTCCGCAATAGCGGCAGTTCATACAGGTTTTTCTGACGGATCAACAGTTTCAAACAGCATCCTCTTAAAACATCTACACCGGGGTATGTTTGTAAGTCGCCCACCGCAACAACGACTAGTCCCTTCTTGGGACTTGGGGTCAGTTCTGTCGGCATTGACAAAGCCGCCATATGAGCCCCTTGCTAATGCCTCTCTGCTAAACTTGACATTAAAAACAATTTTCCTGATAGCAGCGGCTACAGCCAGGAGACGCAGTGAGTTGCATGCCCTTACCATAGAACAGGGTCATGTACGATGGGAACCACATGGAGTTCGACTGATTCCTCATAAAATGTTCCTGGCCAAGAATCAGTCATCAACTTTCCAACCATCGGATATTTTTATTCCTGAGATAAAAACTATCTCTTCAGTCAGAGATGACAAACTCTGGTGTCCGGTTCGGGCCCTCAAGTGGTATTGCTCCCTAACCAAGCCCCTTAGGGGTGAGACCAACCAGTTGTTCATTACGACAACTCAGCCTTATTCAGGGGCATCACGGGACACGATCTCCCGATGGATAGTTAGGACAATCAACTCTTCTGTACCAGATTGGCCTACACGTTCAGAGAACACTGCCCATGCTCATGACACAAAAGCATTAACAACATCATGGGCATTTTTGAAAGGCGTTCCTCTGCCAAACATTCTACAGGCAGCTGCTTGGAAAACGCCATCAACTTTCGTCTCGTGCTACCTGAAGGACGTTCTATGTTCAGAAGGTCAAGCGGGACAAGTAGCCCTCTCGGCTGCCATGGCATCTCATCCCAACCATCAGGACAGGTTGACTGCCTCCAACACCTAGTCGACTAGAACTCCGTATACCTGTAGTAGGTGAGTCCTTTTCCACATACTTTGGTAATGTCTACCTATCAATTTTGGTGAGAACACGAGGGGACATACCAATCTAATTCAGGTAGTGCTTAGAACAGTAGTACCTATGGCAGCCTCGCCCTAGCCCTCCTCCTATAGACGGTGCTAATCTATGCAAATGTAAGGTTTAACAGGTAAGAGAGTCCCAGAAGTGGACTCCCCCAAACTAAAGGTGATTTGTGAGTCCACGAGGGGACGATACTTACCTGTTAAACCTCCCACCCTCCTTCCCCACTTGGGGCTCAGCTGGCAGGGATTACTAAGTGCTCGCGATAGAGATAAAGAGGACGAGGGTACCAGACTGATACAGGTACTGAGGGCCTGGGCGCTGAGGGCGCTATTTACTGTGGTATAAAACGCTAGCGATTGGGAGCCTTAGGCTAGAGAAATATGCAAATGTAAGGTTTAACAGGTAAGTATCGTCCCCTCGTGGACTCACAAATCACCTTTGATTTGGGGGAATTTCGGCATGAACTAAAACACACGTATCCATGATTATAGAGCCAGGCGCTAGTAATATAGTATACGGATAAATGCTTACAGGGAATTAAATGTTCAGAAATAAACATGATATTAATTGAAGTAAAAAATAAATTCAGTTAAAAAGTACTAACAAATTGTTGGCTACTGAAAAGTGAAGTAAGTTGGTCCGGAGCGTGAACACAACGGATTTGAATTTCCCACACGCCGGGGTGGCGCAAGCAAAAACATTACGTCATGGCATACCATAGATTCCTAAGCAGGGTTGGTCGGGGACTGACTAGATTAGACTTGCAAATCATGTAAATAAGGGCTTTTAATAAGGGAAATAGTTACTCCAAGGGAAGAAAATTAAATACGGGAATAAATACATAGCGGCGACAATAACAACATTTACACCGTGTCAATGTCTAAGCCGGCGAGAAAAAAAAAGTGTAGAAAGTCTATGGGATTTTGGATAGAAAACATGAAGAAGAAACAAAAAACCGAGAAAAAAAGGCTTTTCAGCAAGGTTTTGCGGAAAAGCCAATCATATTTTCTTCACATTTTTTCGTGGGCGGCAGAGAGGCCCAGTGCATGTTATAGGCAGTCTGTTGCATGGGCCCATAGCACTGGTCTGGGTAACCATCCATAGTGGTTAAAACTCAAGATGAATCACAACTCATCTGCAATAACCAATGTCTTTGGTAATCATTGTCAATGAAAGGTTTGTTTTCAGTGGTGCAAAACAATGTTACACAATCATTGAAATGTAGGTTCAATAAATAAACCACAGCAAGATGGAGAGAACTAGTCAAACTGTTTGGGTAAATAAATGGAGAACCATCTTTTTTATTCTGAGGCTACAAATGCCTGATCAAATTGAATGCTTGATCAAATACCGAAGACCAAACTACTAAAACCAAAGGCTCCAATGCATACATGTGCTCATAATACAAAGCAGTATAAAAGTTAAGATAAAAGAGGCATTTAATTTAAAATGTCGGGCAAAACCAAGATACCAAGAAGGCTTGGTTGGGATGTTAAAGTTAGTGTTTCCGAATGTCCAATAAGAATGAAGCTGATCAACATTGTAGTCTCAAAAGAAATCTAATTGTTTGTATAGAACATTCCAAGGTATAACGTTACATTCTTATGGAGCTGACCCTTGATGATTTGCGTTTATTTTAGAAACGTTTAGCAAATCTATTTCAGCCCAATTTAAATGTTTAAACCTTTAGCCACGTCACACAGGCTGCATGCCACCTGCACCAGTGTTTGCACTCAAGCATGTTGGTTACAAGAATATACATTAAATAATTATGGTGCACAGCAAACGAAGGGCAGCATCGACACTGATCTACAAAGAAGATCATTCATAATGGACTGTCTTTGCTTTGTAAATAAAATGGTTTAAAGTGGTCCTTTAGTATTATTTATTGTGTGTAAAATGCATACGAGGGCAGATACAGCAAACATATACAATGCGGGTTTGGTTTAAGCATTTGGAAAATTAATTGTAAATGGATTAAGAATGTTTATCGTTTCAATGTTTAAACGGCACCCTTTACCACCAACCACGCACAAGGGCAACAGCATGTGCGCCTCTCAAGTCCTAGCTGCTCTACTCATATTCATAATACAAAACAATCTAAATATTTGAGAAAAGTGCATAGAAACTGCAGTGAAGCAATGTACAACGAAGGCTTGGTTGTGAAGTTTAACTTACTGAAGTTTGTGTTTCTGAATGTCCAATAAGAATAAAGCTGGTCTCATTTGTTTTAACAAAAAAAGTGATCTATTGAAAAGAACATGGAGTACATACATCTCATGGAGGTGACCCTCGATGAACAGACCATTCTATTTGGGACCGCCCACCATGTATGTGGGCAACAAATCGTTCACCTCTCCTATGTTCAATACCGGTATTACATGTGCCAGACGTGCACATGTCATACATGCGAATGCATGCACATTACAAATTTGTACACACCTATGTCGGCATAAATCATGGCTGTGATTGGTCAAAAGTTCCTGGAGCGGGGCGTGTGGATTTGTCTATAATTTCCAACCTGTTTTCATGACAAATGGTGGAGTATGGTACATGTACTGGTAGTTGGAAATATAAATGACTGTTACACGATCAGTATTTACACTTGTACCATATCTTTAAGCAATACATGTAGAAGTAGAGAAGAACTTGCGACACATGCAAGGTTTTTTTTCAAGACTGATTGGAAATATTAAGTTTATTCTTCAACCTACAATGTACATAGAACACCCAATGTAAAAAAATTGTTGTTATATTTCTGAGGTGATGTTATCAGTTTGGGACAAATTTTGTCATTTTGGGAAATGGAAAAAACTATCAAACTAGCGCTTCCATTTAAACACGTGAAAGTTTGAACAACTGTACAAGCTCCAAATAAATTTGCACATATGACCACGGTTGATGTACATGTGTAAGATACTAAATGTAATATAACACATGTAAACTTTCTATGTACATGTATACAATCCCATATCTGCTCAAAGTGTTTCAAGTCTGTCCTGTTTGTGAAGTTGCAATCAGAAAGTTTCTGTACATTGCACATGTCCATGGATGCATGGAGCATCAATAATTTGCATGGATGTTTTGAGAATATAAAATATCTTGATACCATTTTTGTATAATTTTTTTCTTTTTTTATTCCCTGCCTTTTGTTTTGATCGCTTGAACAATTACATGTTGGTTGATATCTCTAAACCAAGTGATACATGTACATGTAAATGGCTGAGGGCCATATGCTGCTTGTAGCTGTAACTGCTAATTTATGTGCAGGTGTGTATGTGATATCATATATGTGATGACCCGGACAGTCCCATGAAGCAATGCACTTGCCATCTGCACTGAAATGGCAGATTTTATCTGAGGCCGAAAGGTAAATATCACCTGCATCATCACAACACAGCCCACAAGGATCACTACAACTTTGAGTAAACAGTTTGTTGCCATGTAAGTCAACAGCCATCAGCACACCCTCATTACTGTTGATGTAAATAAGTCGCTTATTGCTGAAGATCAAACGCGTATCAATCTTTGGAGCAGGCAGTGTTCTGACGAGGGAACCATCTGGGTTGTGTAGAGATATCTGTTCCTTGTCCTCGTAACCCACTGCTATCAGATTGCTGCTGTCCACTGCCAGGCACGTCGGCGTGCCGTCCATGCCGGCCTCTTTACCCGGTAGGAACTGATAAAGGAGCTGGTATTCCTTGCTGAAGATCTTGACTGCAGGATTGTCTAGGATCAGAAGTTGATCATCCTTATTGATGGCTAGAGCTGTTTCTTTCTGTATGTCATTAGGGTCATGGGGTTCGTTTGGTTGATCAGGGTCAGGTTTGAAGGTCTTTGTAGAAATCACCTTCCCCTCTGAATCCAGTGTAACCAGTTTATTACTGCATGTCACAACCATTTCACTTGTGGAGTATGCTGCAAGATGTTGGGGATTGTAAATAGATTGTGAAAAGGCCTCATCTCTCTCCCATTTCTCCTCCAAGAGCAGAGTCCCAAGCTGACCAACCTCTTCACTCTCCTTAAAGCCAAGGAATGACTTCCCATGCTTGATATCCAAACTCTTTTGCACCTCCACCTGCTCATTCAAATCCCGCAGCATTTTCTTCTTGGACTCCAGGATCTCATAGCACGTTGCTGTAGTCATCACTTCATTCACTTTACCCACAATCTGCTCAGACGTTTCTGCATACGCAAATTCTGTATCTCGTTTAATGGCAATTGCCCTGGCTTCCGTTTTCAGTTGTTTTTCTTTCTCTCTGATTTTGGCAATTTCCTTTTCTGCTTTCTGTGAAATTTGAGTGTACGTTTTTACCAGCATCTTGTCAAGTCTGAAACGTGAAAGACCTGAAGAGGGGTTTGCAGAAATGAATCGTTGAATGCACTCTTCTGTTTTAGATACGGATTCATGTACTTCTTGTTTACATCTGCTGACCGCCTGGTCAATGCCGACCTGAGAATGCATGGATTCTTTGTGATCAATGTTTGTGCATTCCCTGCATATTAGGACTTCACATGAGTTACAATACAGACAGAGATCTTGATCTGGATGCTTGAAACACTTGGGAACTTTCTTGAGTTCAGTGGCAGTTATTTCTTGGGACTTAACAGGTAGCTCTGTCAAAGCTACAATCTTATGACCCTTTGTCAGTACTGCCATTCGATTGTGTGCCTTCAGGCATTCTTGACAGAGATAATGCTTGCAATCCATACATCGAGAAATGGCTTCATTTTCCTCATCGCATGCCTGACACATGACTTTTAACCCCTGACCTTCAGTCTGTTCCTGTTGATTGACATCCTTTGATCCTCCAGGTAGCATGTCCACGCCAGCTTCAGTCAGGGCAGTTTCCTTTCGACACAACGGACAGACAATTCTTTTGTCGTCCTTATTTTGTGTCAGTTTGAGTTCTTGCAGACATTTCAGGCAGAAGCTGTGTGAGCAGTCTAGCATCCTAGGATCCTTGTACTCAGTGTAACAGATAGGACATTCTTGAAGTTCCTTCTGAGTCTCATCCAAGACTTGATCAGCCACAACTCCCTCTGCCATCTCAAGTGCTCAGTTGTACTCTATAAGAATGACAATTAACAAATCTTTCAATGTATGTTAACTTGGCCTAGAGTGGAGTGATGTCAAGTGACGTACTCCAGTTTTAAATATGTATGCAAGAACTATTTTATGCTGATGAAATCAACTTCATGTGTACTGCACATACAAACACGTAACAGTACTGATAAAGATTACGAATCAAAGGCGAGTTAATCAATGTTTTCTTGGATACAGAGCCCATTGCCATGGGGGTTCCATTGTGCTTTTTTTTTATTTTCTTCTTTACTGCATACTGTATTACTATACCTCATACATATTCATGACCGCAAGCCGAATTCTCACTGGTCCATGCTACAGCACGTGCCAGGTGCTATTTGTGCTGTTTACCAAACGTGCGTGCGAGTATTCATGCACAGGCTAAATACGCACAGAACGCTGGGATACGCTGATGAATTCACGCTCTGATTGGATAGATTTTGCATGACCTGTGACCTGCAAGTCTTCAGGGCCACGACCCTGCAAGGAATTTAAACGGCCGTTAAGACTAAGTCATCACTCTTTTATTCCCATTCATAAATGCTTTTTTCATTGAAAAGCGTCAGAATGTAGGAACATTTGTAAAACGTATCTGTTTTGTTAAATTTCCATTCTCGTCACTTGCTCGACCCAGGATCCATTTCGAATTAACGATAGGTCAAATTGCATATTATGCGATGCTCAAAATTTGTCCACATGGTCCGCAATGAAATATAAATCACATCCAGTAATAGGATGTGTGCATATCTGTGGGAAAGTTTTCAGATAGCATTTGCGCACATTGGCTAACTGCCTCCTTTAACAGCTGCCGCAGCCAGATGCTTTTTACATATTGGTAGGTCATGATAAGTTACCCAGAATGCCATCCCCACTTCCTTCACAAGATTCTCTAAAGCTCATCAGCGTGTCCCCGCCCTGTTTGCAGGGCGGGGGGTACGAGTGAAATATAGCTACACATGAAAAGATGGTTGCACACGTAAATGATAATTAGTGTTTTCTGGAGCTCAATGATGTCGAATTGGAGAATATATTTTCGACAATAAAGATGTCTCCTGTACTAAAAAAAAGAAAAGTTGTCCACGAACAATAGTATATTTACAACCGCAGTTACTGTATTGTAAACGAACTGAACGTTTTGGAGGTACATGTATGAGCGTTATTTTTCTGGTGAGCTAGACAAGTTTTTGTCGATTTTTTGCCTGCGAGGTGCACTGGGGGAATATTTGGCAATTGAATATGTATGAGGTATAGTAAAACAAATATAACATGGTTTATTTCGGGTGGACAGTCGATATTAGCTCCCCTCAGTATTGGAAGTTGACAAACTAGTTCCTGAGACAAAACTTCCAATACCTAGGGGAACGAATATCGACTGTCCACTCTCAAACCATGTTTATTTGTGTAATGCCATCCACTTACCTGTACCACGTATTGTAGTTGTTTTCTAGGTACAATTTGAAAGTCTTTTCCTGTATGCACTCCAGCTGTCAGCAGATTATCAGCCATACCCTACTTGCACAGCACTACTGTATAGGTTGCTGCACACATACTATGTACATGTACTAACATGCACCATCACTTCCTAGCAAAGCTTCCGTTGTGACGTCACAGTTGAACTGTTTTCCTCATGAACACAATTTCTCATCTTGGGAATTCCCCGATTTGTATGAAAAGCTTTTCATAGGACTCGTACCTCTGACCTCAAGCATACATACATGTACGGTACTGGTACATGTGTTGTCAGTTGTGTATGCACATGTATATGCCCATTCTTGTTCACTGTACCCGGCTACTCTTGTTCATGGTGTATGCGGTCTGTGTATTACAGTTCTACAAAAAAAATTGAAACAAGACTTTTATGGTAACATTTCTAGCAAATGGTGATGAATAAGGCCCACCTCATATTTAATGTTTCAAGAAATATTAAATCATTGAAGGGTCCATGAAATGATTTTTACTCTGGAGCATATTTGAGGAAATTATCCATTCTTCTTAAATGTATAAAAACTATGAGTCATCTTTCTTTTTTTGGTGATCTATTCTGCAAAGTGCACTTTTTGAATCTTTTAAAATGTTTCATGCTTTTCCTGACAACAGAGGGCGCACACGGCTACCAACTTTGAGTAAGAGCTGAGAGTGAGAATTTGGTGATGGAGCTTGATCAGAACTAATGCAAGCGCGAAGCGTGAAGCCCTAACGGCGTGGGTATGGGGCCCGCTGAAGGGCCCCTAAAAAACATTCGATTGTAGACGATCTGTGGTGCGATCTGAGGCAATTTCCGACCACTTTAACTACTTTATTTTAGCAAAAGATCATCATTTAAACATCGTTTTCCAGGTTTTTTGTTTAAGTGATATCCTGCGGGGGCATGAGAGAGTGTGAATAACCTGAAATGCGGGAGTCTCACCGCTATGCGTGAGAGTTGGCAGGGCTGGGCGCAGTTGTGTAGTCACTTTAGGCCCTCGCCCTTCAGAGTTTTTCTTCAAATTGTAAACCCACAATTCTGCTTATTGTAAACATTTGTGCTGATTACAATGTAAAGCTTTCTCAAAGTCTTGCTGTCATGTACTGAAATAACAAATGAATCACTGAAAGCAGAATAGTAACCCCATCCAACCCCCATACTTCTGGTGACTGTTTATGCTGAAGCAGATGTGACACAGAAGTTTCTGCCTTGAATGAGGTACATCAAAGTTTTGCTCATGAAATTGGCCGGAGCATAAAAACCAAAAAGTCGCCAAACTGCACTAAAAATGGCAGTATAAGGATAAGAAAGTAAAGTTAAATGGGACACCAAAACAATGATTGCATTAAAGCAAATTCCATTTTATGCCATTCAAATGTAATAGAAAACTGTACATCTATCAAAACCCCTTCAACGTCAAATACAGTTCATATTAAATAGTCATTTCACCGTTTAGTGTAATATCCCTCCTCCACAATTAAAATTCACTTGCATTCATCATCCAGTGGTCAAAACCCATTTAGTAACAACAAAAATTTTTTTCTTAAAAAAATGGAGAAAAATTCGCCCTACAGACTTATGCTATAGATCTTTATCATTCTGCCACCATTTTAGTCATGTTCCCTGTGTCGAATAACAGTACTGAATGACAATGTTTTTTATGCAAAAAGGAGCCAGACTATTTTCCCTTCCAGCCTCGCTTTGGTTATGTTCATTTGAATGGGGAAAAATCACGATGGCGGCAACATGATAATGGTCAATATGACCAGAATAAAACATATTACCGAGGTGGAAGCATGTTTCTTCACAGGTACATGTACATGTAGTAATACGTGCATTCAGTACTCCAGACTTTCAACCAAGTTGGTTTTCTTTGAATAGTTAAATTTTACAACATATCTCTGTGAAAACACTTTAAAATGTATCGCTATTATTCAAAACATAATGTTGATGATGAAAAATGTGGCAACATTGCTTCACCAAGGTTTACCATGCCCACTTGGGGTCAACATGCAAATTGAGGTCAAAGTAATACAAATTAGTACATCTCTTTTACCGTTGATCGTTAGAATTCGTAAAATATGAATATTCAAAATCTGACTGTACATGTATAATGAACCCTTCTGAAAAATACGTCACTATTGAAGGCGCACTGATCCTTTGTAAGATTCACAGCAACGTTACACGATGATAAAGCCTGATCATGCTTGTTGATAAATCTGTCAAGTTTTCACTTTAGGATTCCATCCAGCTAGTGGGTGCCAAGACTCTACCCAGCTCTTCACACGGCACCCCGCTAGTGTAAAAGCTCATGAACAAGATTTAGTCAAGAAACAGTTTAGACACCAAAAACCAATCAGTATCACAACTTTAAATTAGTGAAAAGTTCACACTTTCCAACCTTTCTTCTGGAAATAAGGTGTAGGCCTTCACCTTTAATTTTCATTGGTTTTTTTTTTTTAACAGTTTGTGCATTTAAGCGTGTTTTTGAACCCCATTAAGTTGAAATGCATTAGAAAGTGTGTATCAAAGCCAGAAGAGATCAAATTGTCCACACATTTTTCCATGATCAAATTGTCCACACATTTTTCTGAGGCCCAGTGCAGTTTAAAGAGGCATTCTAGTTTCTGGACCCCATTTGTGGTGCTTGGCCTGGGTAACCATAAGTGGTGGTTGAAACTCTAGATGAAGTGGTATTTTTTTTTCAATGGCAATCATTGGCAATGAAAGGTTTGTTTTTACTGGTGAAAAACAATGTTACGCTGTCATTGAAATGCAGGTTCAAAAGATAATAAACTACAGCAAGAAGGATAGAAATAGTCGAACTGTTGGGATAAATAAATGGAGAATCATCATTTATTCTGAGGCTACAAATGCCAAATTGAATGCCTGATCAATTACCCAAGACCAAACTACTAAAATGAAAGGCTCCTGATGATGCATGTGCTTATAATACAAAGCAGTATAAAACTTAAGATAAAAGGGGCATTTAATTTAAAATGTTGGGCAAAACCAAGACACAAAGAGGGCTTGGTTGGGAAGTTAAAGTAAGTGTTTCTGAATCTCCAATAAGAATGAAGCTGATCTACATTGTAGTCTCAAAAGAAATGTAATCGTATAGAACATTCCAAGGTATAACAGTACATTCTTATGGAGCTGGCCCTCGACAATTTGCGTTTATTTTGGAAACGTTTAGCAAATCTTTTTCAGCCCAATTGAAACGTTTAAACCTTTAGCCACGTCACACAGACTGCATCCCACCTGCACACTTGATCTGATACACCGTGCCCTCTGAAGACGTGTGTACAATAGGGAACAAAAGATTGTATACGTCTCCACAGTGCAATTTCTATAGATGAATACGTCTCCATAAGGTTTTCCCGAAATAGATATATAGATTTTACTCAAAAACTAGGAATTTCCAAGCTATGTTTGTCTGCATGTCGCAAAAATGGAAGAGTTTCAGAAAAGGGATTTTTTAAGTCCAAATTTCAGCCAAGGAAATTAATTCTGGTTAAAATAAGAGCATTTTTAAACTACACTATCAAACTCGAAAACTTCAGTACATGAGAACAAAGGAATGTCTCCACAAGGATACAAATTCCAGTATGTGTGTTTGCATGTTAGAATATACATGAAATAATTATGGTGCACAGCAAACGAAGGGCAGCATCGACACTGATCTACAAAGAAGATCATTCATAATGGACTGTCTTTTGCTTTGTAAATAAAATGGTTTAAAGGTGTCCTTTAGTATTATTTATTGTGTGTGTGATTGAAATGCATGTACAAGAGCAGCTTGGTACATAAACATACACAATTCAATCCAGGCTTCGTTTTAACATTTTGAAAAATTAAGAATTTAAGAATTTTTATCGCTTAAATGTTTAAATGGCACCCTTTAACCACACACAAGGGCAACAGTACGTGCACCTCTTGATCATGTTCTACTGGTACGTCCTCTACTCGTATATTAATAATACAAAACAGTGTACATATTTGAGAAAAGTGCATAGAAACTATTGTGCAATGACCCAAGTTACAAAGAAGGTTTGGTTGGGAAGTTTCACTTGCTGAGAAGGGTTTCAAACTGTCCAATAAAAATAAAGCTTGTTCTTGTGTTTTAAGTCTGTTCTGTTTGTGAAGTTGCAGTCAGAAAGTTTCTGGACATTTCACTGGCCTAAAGATGCATACGGAGCATCAGTAATGTACATGTGTGTGTTTATGTAGATAATGTGTTGATAGAAGTATGTATGAAATAAATACCCCCCCCCCCCCCCCCCCCCCGCCTAGTATTGTGATCCTTTGAATTTGCAATTTATGTTGGTTGATATGTCTCTAACCCAAGTGATACCTGCTCGTGTTGTATCCTGTACATGCTAATTTATGTGCAGGTGTGTATGTGATAGCACAATGATCCATATTAGAGTACCATGAAAAAATGAACTTGCCATCTGCACTAAAATGGCAAATGGTTTTGTATACATAATTCCTACCAAGAAGGTAAATATCACCTGTATCATCGCAACACAGCCCACGAGGATCACTACAACTTTGGTTAAACAGTTTATTGCCATGAAAGTCAACTGCCATCAGCAAACCCTCTTTGTTGTTAGTGTATATGAGTTGCTTGTTGCTGAACTTTAAATATGTATCAATCATTGGAGCAGGCAGTGTTCTGACGAGGGAACCATCTGGGTTGTGTAGAGATATCTGGTCCTTGTCCTTGTAACCCACTGCTATCAGATTGCTGCTGTCCACTGCCAGGCACGTCGGCGTGCTGTCCAAGCCGGCCTCTTTACCCGGTAGGAACTGATGAAGGAGCTGGTATTCCTTGTTGAAGATCTTGACTGCGGGATTGTCTAGGATCAGAAGTTGATCATCCTTGTTGATGGCTAGAGCTGTTGCTTTCTGTATGTCATTAGGGTCATGGGGTTCGTTTGGTTTATCAGGGTCAGGTTTGTAGGTCTTTGTAGAAATCTCCTTCCCCTCTGGATCCAATGTAAGCAGTTTCTCACTGCATAACATAACCATTTCACTTGTGGAGTATGCTGCAAGATGTGTGGCACAGAACACACTTAATGAAAAGGTATCACACTTTTCCCATTTCTCCTCCAAGAGCAGAGTCCCAAGCTGACCGTCCTCTTTACTCTCCTTAAAGCCAAGGAATGACTTCCCATGCTTGATATCCAAACTCTTATGCACCTCCACCTGCTCATTCAAATCCCGCAGTATTTTCTTCTTGGACTTCAGGATCTCATAGCACGTTGCCGTAGTCATCACTTCATTCACTTCACCCAGAATCTTCCCAGACGCTACCGCATATGCAAATTGTTTATCTTGTTTAGTGGCAATGTCCCTGGCCTCCATTTTGAGTTGTTTTTCTTTATCTCTGATTTTGGCAATTTCCTTTTCTGCTTTCTGTGAAATTTGAGAGTAAGTTTTTGCCAGCATCTCGTCAAGTCTGTAACGTGAATGACCTGAAGAGGGGTTGGCAGAAACAAATTTTTGAATGCATTCTTCTGTTTTAGAAACGGATTCATTTACTTCTTGTTTACATTTATTGAATGCCTTGTCGATACCTTCATAAGAATGCATGGATTCTTTGTGGTCAATGTTTGTACATTCATTGCATATGAGGACGTCACATGTGTTACAATACAGACAGAGATCTTGATCTGGATGCTCGTGACACTTGGGAACTTTCTTGAGTTCAGTTTCCTCTGTTATATCTTGGGACTCAACAGGTAGCTCTGTCAAGTCTACAATCTTGTGAGCCCTCAGTGATGCCAATCGATTGTGCGCCTTCAGGCATTCTTGACAAAGATAATGCTTGCAATCTACGCATCGAGAAATAGCTTCGTTCTCCTCATCACATGCCTGACACATGACTTTTAACCCCTGACCTTCAGTCTGTTCCTGTTGATTGACATCCTTTGATCCTTCAGGTAGCATGTCCAGGCCAGCTTCAGTCAGGGCAGTTTCACTTCGACACAACGGACAGACAATACTCTTGTCGTCCTTATTTTGTGTCAGTTTGAGTTCTTGCAGACATTTCAGGCAGAAGCTGTGTGAGCAGTCTAGCATCCTAGCATCCTTGTACTCAGTGTAACAGATGGGACATTCTTGAAGTTCCTTCTGAGTCTCATCCAAGACTAGATTGGTCACACCTCCCTCTGCCATCTTGCTCAGTTGGACTCTATATGAACCATATCAGAGTGGAAAGAAAAACAAACTTTCAACTAATATGCATACTATAAGATACTGTATAAATATAGACTGACTCAAGTTCTGTATACAGTCGAACGCCGCTATAACCAACATCGTTGGATCCACCACAGAAAGTGTTCGTAATATAGTGATTTTGAACTGCTGGTACCCTCTGTTGACCAATAGTGAACTGGCATTTCTCACATCCCACGGCCGCACAAGGAGTCATCACGAAATTTTAGCAACGGTCGGTTTTCCCTTTTATTCCTTGGGCCGGGTGGTTTCCCTTAATTTTATTCCTTGGGGAAATAATAGCAATCTTTCGCTTGTCGACATTCACACACGATGTAACTATGGGTCGTTTGATGTTCGGGAATTAAAAGTGGCCCAGATAGTGTTTGATACATGTACAACCGGTAGATTTTTTTGTTAATCTGTTGACTGTTTTCAACAACAATGCTCGGTACGTTTTGTACATTAAAGCCGGGAGCCAAGGATGATGTTCGGTATAGCCTAATGTTCGGTATAGCGGTGTTCGGTATAGCAGCGTTCCACTGTAATTCACGAACAGTTTGCATACCTGTAGATGTAAATATGTATTGAAATCACTTAAGTTTTATGCAGATGAAATCAAAAACATACTTGGACAAAACAATACGAAGGTAAAAATCAAAGAAAATCATGACAGTCAATATTTCTTCGCCTTGGATACATCAGAGCATAATTAAGCAGTCTGTCATATAGTGTTGCTTGCCTGTGTGGATGCATCAAAGGGAATATATACGGTACAACATTTGCAAACATCAAAAAACAAAACTACCAAATTATTATGAAACACCTTACTGGACTGTTAGTGAATGACAGTCCAAAGCATCCTGTGAAATCATGGCACCTGGTGTGCTGACATTTTCAAGAATAGTGGTATTTTTGTATCAATTTCAAATTGGAAAAAAAAATGGCTTTTTTTCAATTACTGCCCAGATACCATATTTAGTCTGAATATTGTTTGCAATCGATCACACATCTATGAACGGGTCCAAGCCTTCTAGACTGGTTCCCTGGCCTTACAATTCCCCGATGTCTATAAATTGCTCCTTTTCAATTTAAGTGGCATCAGGGAACCAGACTGCAAGAACACGATTGTTTTTCTTGGTTTTTCTTGCATCTACGAACCCAAAACATCAAACAAGTCAGTGTAACAATATTTGCTGTAAAACACTAACCCCCAAATCCATCCATTTCTGAAAATTACAGCAAAGGCAAATGTTGTATATTCACATTACAATGTCCACCTACCTACAAGTTCAACAGGCCTGTTTATGGGTACAGTTTGAAGTCGTTTCCTGCATGCAATCTGTCGGCAGTATCAGCCGCACCCTACTATTACTACAACAGCACGACTGTATGTTGTGCACACAGATTGTCCAATAGTGAATAGTGCCTTGTAGAGTCAAGTGCACAGCAACGGCTGTCGTTGTGACGTCACAGTTGAACTGTTTCCTCATGAACACAATTTCTCATTTGGGAAATTCCCAGGTTTTTGTGAATAGCTTTTTATGAGACACCTCTGGCCTATTGTTGTTGGTTGTGGCTAGGTGTTCAGTGGTACTTGTACATTGTACCCGGCTGCTCCTGTGCATGTAGGCAGACGGATCGGTGTATTACAATTTATCAAATGTTTATGAGGATAACCTTTATGGGTCATTCCACCGGGTTGGGACACAATGTGTGACATGTGACCATATTATGAAAAGTATGAATGCCGTGCTTGCAGTTGCTCTACATAATATTTATTGTTGGGTGTTTCACCACTGCAGAAAGTTTTAAATCATTCGCATGTATTTTGCCAAAAATATGAGCAAAAATGTCATTTGGACCTTACATTGACACCGTTTCAATGAAATTTCTGTAAAGCATTTCCCAAATTCACTTTATGTACTTCTTACTATACATGCGACACACCAAGAAAAACTTTTTGCTATTTTTTGTTATGGTAGTCGGGTATCAAATGGAGCAGAAATGATAGCTTGGTTGTGGACGTAACACCGTGTCAACCCCAAATGTCACACTTCCACTGAGTGATTGTGACACTGTTACGTCTACATTAAAGATATCATTTCTGCTATATTTGAACCCTGACTATACCAAAACAAAAGCTTTTCTTGGTGCATATGCAATGTCAGTTTGGGTATTATTTTACATGTGTCCAAAAAAAACGGCCCCCCCAAAAAAAGTATTTGGTTGTAACATTGACACTGTCACCGTTACATTCGAATAATTCATTTTTGCTCATTTTTTGTCAAAGTCCATTCAAATGATTTCAAACTTTCACAATTATTAAAACACCCTCAGACAAATTTTATGTTAAGCAATTGTTTAGAATGCATTGATACTTTTAATAATATAACCAATTATTTGGATGTACGATGCACTGTTTCCCAACCCGGTGGAATGACCCTTGTATCAGATGGTAATCAGTTGCACCTCGTACGAATTAATGCTTCAAGAAATGTTAAAACATTCAAATGTAATGAATGTACAAATGCTATTCTACCAAAACATTTGCAGGTCATACTGATGTTCCGTGAAGTACCCAATGCAACCACTGCACTGCTCGACATGTTGCTGCATTGCTGCTACTGCAACGACACGTTCACCTTGTCCGTCATGATGATGATCCACGTAAGTACAATTCCTTACAATTCAAGTTGATCCAACAAATGTTTAATTTGTACTGTATGGTTTTATTTTAATCCCCCAAAAGACCAACATTTTTCGAGAGGGGGGGATTGAGGACATCTGCAACCTTCGAGATTATCGTTCAGCAAGTAATTCAAAATTTGTTAAGATGGGCAGATTTTTCATTCTATGTCTCATTCATATTGATGAACATTGTTTAAAGGTAGAGTAGATCATTTGCAGCTTTACAAAAAGTAACTGACAAGGTTATTGTTGAAAAGCTTACTTGGTTTAAAGATAGTAATGGCACTAGACTCCCTGTGAAATTATTCCTTCTGGCATGCTGTCATTTTGAAGAAAACAATAGAAGAAGGCCATTGTAGTGTATGCAGACTGCAGTGATCTATTTATAGTGCAACCAGTGTATGACGTCATTTGTTGATCGTCTGTACATTCTAGTACGTGTGTACTCTAGTGTGTTATGAACGTGAATACAATACGAAGCAACCAGAAAAGTATCCCTAATCTCAGTCTCTCCTTAATCGGGTATTATTGACGTACGAACACAACAGTGGCGACGAGGATGAACCTTGAACACACGGGCTACGCACAGGGTTATCTACGGACTGTAATTGTGTGAAACGACGGTGAGTTTTCACGAACTTTTTGCAAAGTTTTCTCGACACGTACGGTGATAACTTTTGCACACACGATACGCGGTACAGTACAACGTACATGTACATCGCCATTGTTCCATGCATGGTTGACGACGCATAGTAACGATACGTTCTACGATAAACAATAATGGCGACTTTTCAGAGAACTGTGTTCGAGGAATTTAACCCAGTGGATGGTGATATTGATACATATTTGGAGAGACTTGATCAGTATTTCATTGCTGTGGACATTGCGGAGACAGAGGCAAACGCTGTCAAACGCAAGGCTATTTTGTTGAGCAGCATTGGTTTCACGGCATATAAGACACTTAAAGACTTGTCTTTTCCGCAACAACCCAAGGAAAAGTCATTCGAGGATTTGTGTAAACTGTTACGGGGACACTACAGACCCAAGAGACTGGCAGTCGCAGAGAGATTTCGATTTCATAATGCTAGACAAATGCCAGGACAATCGATCTGTGAATACGTTGCTCATTTGAAGAAAATGGCTGTATATTGTGACTTTGCGGGGGATCAACTGCAGGAGAGTTTGCGCGATAGATTCATCTGTGGGCTGCAGTCTGAGAGCATCCAAAAGAAACTGCTCGCACGCAACTACAATTTCCAACAAACTCTGGATCTCGCTCTTGCAGAGGAGGCTGCTGCAAAGAATGTGAGAGACATGGGCACCGTGGAGACTAAACCAGTGAATAGGGTGACTTCTCACTACAAGCGTAATCAAAAATGGCAAAAGCCAAGGTCATCGCAACCAAGGAAGCATTGCGACCGCTGTGGACTGAACAATCACAATCGCGATGATTGCCGATACAAGAGTGCCACATGCTACAAGTGCAAGAAAGTGGGACATTTGCAGTCAGAGTGCAAGTCTGATAGTAAATCAGGCCCTGCACCACCAACCACGAAATACACGCCCCAACAGCGAACCAAGCCCAAAGGACGCGTTCGCTATGTGGGAGACGACGAAAACGCTCGCGAACTGTACGATCCCACTGATGACGCATATCGCGATGACAGTACATTCGTCGACTCGGTTTTTACGGTTACGACTTCCGATAAGTCAAAAGCGGATACGTCAGGAGACACGACAGCTGATACGTACAGCCGTACTTCAACTATCAAGGTTCCTGTCAAGATCGCGAACATTCCCATACAAATGGAACTTGACACAGGTGCCGCTGCATCAATCATGAGCCAGTCAGACTATCACAAATATTTGGGGCACATTCCAATGCAACCGGTGAATCGTGTCCTACACGCTTACGCGGGTGCCCAATTGCGAATCTTGGGCCAACTGGTTGTCGAGGTTCAGTACGGCGACCAGAAAGCAACGTTACCGCTAATCATCGTCCACGCAGACAAGTACGCACCACCCTTGTTGGGCAGGGAGTGGTTGACAGTTCTCAAGCTGGACTGGCCTAATCTGTTTTCTCAGGGTCAATACGGTGTGAAATCTGACCCAATCGCCGAGTTGAAAAGTGAATATAAGGACATTTTTCAGCCAGAGTTAGGCACAGTACGTGGAGTTAAGGTAACACTGCACGTCAAGGAAGACGCTATTCCAGTTTTCCACAAGGCTCGCACAGTGCCATTGGCTCTTCGCCCCGCAGTCGAAAAGGAACTCGCCAGAATGGAGCAAGAGACAATCATTTACCCAGTTGATTTCAGCGAGTGGGCGACACCCCTGGTGTGTGTACCCAAAGCAGATGGCACGGTACGCCTGTGTGGGGATTACAAAAACACTGTAAACAAATCAATCCACACCGATCAGTACCCCATACCTACTTCGGAGGAAGTATTCAGCAAGCTAGCCGGTGGGGAGAAATTCTCCAAAATCGACTTGAAATGCGCATATCAGCAAATGTTGCTCGACGACAAATCCCAAGAATACGTCACGATTAACACGCACAAGGGACTGTATCGGTATACACGCTTACCATTCGGTATCTCATCGAGTCCTGCAATCTGGCAGAGATTCATCGAACAAGTACTAGCAGGTCTGGACAGCACATGCGCAATCATGGATGATGTGCTTGTTACAGGCAAGATGGATGAGGAACATCTCTGCAATGTAAAGAACGTTTTCCAGCGATTCCGGAAATACGGTCTCAGGTTGAAGACCGAAAAGTGTCGGTTCATGCAGGAGAGCGTAATCTACATGGGACGTCGAATTTCTGCAAAAGGGATTCAGCCAACCGACGACAAGGTTGACGCGATACGCAACGCTCCAGTTCCACAGAATGTCACAGAGCTTCGCTCATGGTTGGGGATGGTCAACTTCCAAGCGCAGTTCCTTCCCAACCTGTCGACAATGGCCCATCCGTTAAACGAACTGCTCGGGGATTGTCCTTGGCAGTGGACGGATGAATGTACCAGGGCATTTGAGGCAGTGAAGGACGCCATCAGTTCAGACAAACTTCTCGCTCACTACGACCCAGCACTCCCTCTCGAGCTCGCAACGGACGCATCACCATATGGACTTGGAGCAGTCATGCTGCATGTGTACGCTGACGGCTCCAGACATCCTATAGCATATGCTTCACGCTCACTCAATAAACATGAGAAGGGCTACGCGCAACTGGACAAGGAGGCCCTGGCAATCATGTTCGGTCTCAAACGCTTCCGCACATATCTCTACGGAAGGAAATTTACCATACGGACTGATCACAAGCCATTGGAGCGCATCCTTGGTCCCAAGACGTCGATTCCAACCCTTGCAGCACAACGTCTTCAGCGTTGGGCTGTAATGTTGTCCGCATTTGACTACGACTTGCAGTTCATTCCATCTTCGCAGAATGTGCTCGCAGACGCGCTCTCACGTCTCCGATTACCCACAATGGAGGAGGACGATGAAGACGCTATCTACAACATCGAGGACAAATGCCTCGATAGCCTACCTGTGACCAGTAAGGAGATCTCACACGCTACAAGAACTGATCCTGTGCTTTCGCGCGTGTTAGAGTTCACTAAAAGTGGATGGCCAGCAGAGGTAAGGGACGAACGCCTCAAACCTTTCTTCAATCGCAGACACGAACTATCCACGGAACAGGACTGTTTGTTGTGGGGATTAAGAGTTGTGATACCCTACAAGTACGAGAAGTTCATTCTGGGTGAGTTACATGATGCGCATCCAGGAATTGTCAGGATGAAAGAAATTGCACGAAGCTACGTTTGGTGGCCTAACATCAATCGCGACATCGAACAGACTGTTCGTCTCTGTGCTAGCTGTCAACAGACTAGACACCTTCCAGCTGTGGCACCCCTAATGCCATGGGTGTGGCCTAGCTCTTCGTGGCACAGAATTCACATCGATTTCGCGCAGAAAGATGGTCATGATTTCCTGATCGTCATTGACGCATACGCAAAATGGCCAGAGATCTTCCACATGAGTAGCACCACCGCGAATGCAACCATCACGGTGCTGCGAGACTTATTCAGCAGGTATGGCATCCCCTACCAACTTGTCAGTGACAATGGACCGCAATTCACAAGTGAGGAGTTCCAACGGTTCCTCAAGGTGAATGGTGTGAAACACGTGAGAGTTGCACCATACCACGCCGCAAGTAATGGTGCAGCAGAATGAATGGTTCAATCCTTCAAACGCGCTCTCAGCTCGAGCAAATCGAGTGGTCGGAGTTTGCAACAACGCATCGACAGTTTCCTGTTGACATATCGCACTACGACACATGCAACGACTGGTCGTACTCCTGCGAGTTTGTTCCTAGGACGCGAACTGCGTACTCGTTTGTCCTTGCTACGCCCGGACGTTGAACGCAAGGTGGTCAACATGCAGAGCAACCAAAAGTTGCACCACGACAAACAGACCCAACTCCGCGAGTTCTATGCGGGGGAGGATGTGTTGGTTAAGGATTTCCGCCGTAAAGAGACTTGGTGGCTGGCCACAGTCGCGGAGCGCACAGCCCCGAAGTCTTATGTGGTAATTTTGCAGGATGGTCGAGTGTGGAAAAGACACGTGGATCAGATGAGAAGAGCAGAACGGTCTACAACCAGTCATTCTCAGAACTCAAGGAATGGGATGCACACCTCAGCTCACCAAGATACTGATATGTCTGACCTAGCATCCATGCCGGTGTTTATCCCTACCGCTGAGACAGCTCCAGTCGTTGGCTCGCAAATTCCTCATACAGAACGTACACACGCGCCACCCTCAAACGTCACAAATGGTGAGCAAACTTCACAATCGGCGACACCGACCGTAACCGCAGGTTCCAGTGCTTCACCCAAACCCCTACGTCGCTCGTCAAGGGTCAGCAAACCCCCAGACAGACTCATTGAGACTATGGAATAACCTAACTGTTGTTCGCAGAGGCCTGCATGAGAGTTAAAAGGTGCATGCACTGCACTTTGAGTTGTTACAGTTGTGTTAATGTTTACATGTATCGTGTTACTCAAGTTGTTTAAACAAGTTTTTAGAGTTGCAGTTTTGAAACAAAAAAAAAGGTTGCAGTTGAAATTGTACGGTATTGGAATGTCATGGGTTAAAAAGAAGAAAAAAAATAAGCAAACAAGAAGGAAATCCTAAGGGAAGTTCCGTTTATTCAAATTAAGGGCAGGAAGAGAAAAAAAGCCATTGCTACCTTGTCTAGGGACTTGGATTTAATTATGGAAAAAAGGATTTTCTTTGTTTTGAACTTTGGTTTTCTTGCAACAAGTGTTTGTAGGATTAGCATTTTTTTTGTGAGGTGTGACATTGCTTAATAGACAGTATTTTCAGTCGAGGACATTTTCATAGGGTTGAAAATGATGTTTTTGTGTGTGTACAGCTTCCATATTAAGGGGGGAGAGGATGTAGTGTATGCAGACTGCAGTGATCTATTTATAGTGCAACCAGTGTATGACGTCATTTGTTGATCGTCTGTACATTCTAGTACGTGTGTACTCTAGTGTGTTATGAACGTGAATACAATACGAAGCAACCAGAAAAGTATCCCTAATCTCAGTCTCTCCTTAATCGGGTATTATTGACGTACGAACACAACAGCCATTTCCAAAGATGTGTCAAGTGACCCATTTTTGGGAATGTCCATTAGTTGTTGATTTGTAATTGTGAATGGGTGCCATTGGTGTTTAATTTGTGTCAAGAAAATGCTTTTCGTAGATGGTTTGTGCAGATGGATTGTTAAAAATTTCTGGATCGATATTACTGTGCCAAGCGATAATTTCTTACAGTCTGCAGTATGTGAATGTTATTAAAGGCACGTTTGTGTTGGAATGTTGGCAATGACCCAGAAACATATTTAACGACAAAAGCCTTTCTCAATGTGAAGAGAGAAACAAATGCACAAAAAGTAAATGATCCTATGGACCTTTTAAATATAACAAGGGAGATTGAAATTGGAAACGCTACATTATGTGCCAGAATTTTTTCTCTTTGTTGTATTGAATTTTTTTCATTTCTCTCCGCCCTGATTGGTCGATACAGGGTCAGGTGTCCTCGGCGCCCACCAATGAGCTGAAGCACATCTTGATTCTCCTCCTGGAGCTGTTGATGATGGAGGACCCCCTGCAGGGCAAGCGCCTCAAGCTAGCCGTGGAAGGCAACAACAACAATGGCCTCTTGGGTAAGGAGCTCTCATCTCTGTATATACTGACCTGGGTAGGGTGAAGCCACTCGGACGCCATCTTGGGAGGCCAAGACATATGGGTTATTGTGTCAATGTGGGGTCCACTTTTTTCATGTGCCTGTTACATCTGATATCTGTGATTTTATAATTCTGATGCACTCCTTGATGCAGTCATCCTCCAAGAGTGAATGTGAATTGCAAACTACCTACCCAACAAATAAAATGTTTAAAGTCATTCTTAGTGATACTTGAATAAGCGAATAAATGTGTGCTTGGCTGGTTTTAAACAAGTCCGTTTAAGACTGGCGGGGGGGATGGACGCTGATATAGCCTGAGCCAAAGGGAGGGATATTAGTAGCGACAAGGTCCCTAGCCAGTCTTAAACAGACTTGTTTAATACCAGCCAAGCACAGATTTATTCCCATTCACAAATATCTTTTCGATCAAAGAGTCAAAACAAGTTAAAAAAAAAAAAAATTCCATTGATTTTTTTCAACAATTTTACTTCATGTTTTTTTTTAAAACACCCCTCTATGTTATGGTATGTGCCTCTAGCCTCTTGCAAGTGGTCGTAAAGAACTCCTTTTATGGAGATTGGCCTGCTATGACTATGAAATTATGACTATAAAATAGTGACTCACTGGTAGTGTTGCACATTTCTAAGTGAGGATTGTGAACGTTCAACCAATAAAAGGGTAATTGGACCAGATTTCACAGGAGTCCAAAAATCGTGTGACACCTGAAAAGTGTTTTAGACCCGCCAGCCAATGTTGTATTGACTTTTTAAGACCAGCCACATGACAGGCTCTCGACCAATAGAAATGGGTAAACTGTCTAGGGTTTTTCTGAATGGAAAATTACAAAGTACCAAGGTAACAGGGGCAAGAAAATTGTCACACTTTGGACCAAAACTGTATAGAGTAGTAACATTCAAAGGTGTAGTCCATCATTTGTAATTTGTGCAATTTGTTAATGTATGACCCAACAAATGTGCTAAAATCTAAAGAAGGGTGCTGAACAACTAACCTCATGAAGTTTCAGCTCAGCTTCAGCTGTATATTTCAAGAGAAACAACATTCTAGCATCTCGATTTCAAATCAACAGTTGCTGAATCATGTTTTGAATTGGGCCTGAATTTAGCGTCCGAGACACGTTCTCACCTAGCTGATTGCAGCTATGCGATGTCGCGCACTGATCCGATGAATTATGGAGGGCGCACCAAGTGCGTCGTGTCAGTGCTTGCATGCACTTCGCCGAATACAAACACGAACTACTCACGGAAATTTCCAACGGTTTGTCTGTAGTTGCACTGTTGGAAAGGCCTTCTTTCGTTGATTTCTTTAAAATGAGAGCATGGCAGAAAGATTAATTTCACAGGGAGTTTAGTCCCCTTACTATCTTTCAACCAAGTATGTTTTTCAACAATAATTATGTCAGTTACTTTTTGGATAGCTGCAAATGATGGACTGCAGCTTTAATTGCCTTCCTTGCAGACTTTTTCATCGTGGCTGATTTAACATTAATCTCACTATTTCTTCTTATTGTGTTGCAGAGATCATTCGTAAATGTACGTCCACGGACAGCCGTCGGTCCTACCAGTGCATCAAATTCCTGGTCCATCTGTCCAACAAATGCTCCATGGCCAAAGAGTATCTGATGACCATCTCGGTCCGGTGGCAGTGGGCGGTCAACTGGCTCAAGAAAAAGGTAAGAACTTCTCATCTACATGTAGTTTTTTGAAAGGTCAGTTAACCGGGTATAACATCTCCGAGTCAAAAGGTTTAATTTTCCAAGTTAACCAAGTGAAAAGACAAGCTAATTATTATAAACTGTAGTTCATCCATGGTTACTTGTAAGCAAGCTGACTTGAAGGCACATAGGATCATTTGCATTTTCTCCCAGAAGTAATCTAGCTGATTATTATCAAAAATCTTATGTATTAAACGCCTAGTGAAATTCTGTCTAGCTTGCCGTCATTTAGAAGAAATTAAGAAATGTAGGTGATTTCCAACGATCTGTCAATTGACTGATTTTATATGTTATACAAGAAATCCATAGCAACTTTCTATCAAGACTAGACAATTAATGTGCTTATTTTGTTTATGTTGCTGTTTTGCATAGATGAGTGAGCACTACTGGACGCCTCAGAATGTCTCCAACGAATCCAGCACGGGACGGTCCTTCCAACGCACCATGAGCGCTCAGGACACGCTGGCCGAAGCCACCGCGCTGTTGGATGAGCTCAACACGCGTGACGATGACGGTGAACACATCGAGAACGACGAAGAGGAGGAGGAGTACGTCGAGGGCGACTCCAACACCAAGATGGAGGTCAACGGGTCGTCAGAGGGGTCAGAGGTCAATGGGAATGAAGACAGCTCAGAGTCTTCCAAGACGTTGGTTCAGGACGACGTGGGCGACTTGGACGACATTGATACATAACGGCTTTTTTTTTTTTCTGTTTCAGAATTTGTAGCCAATAGAAGATGGTTCCTTACTCCTGGGGTCATAAGTCAGAGGTCATCACAGGTCAGATTAAAGGAAACCAAGGGCCAGGTTGCGCCTTTTGTTTTTTGCTGTCACATCATATTTTAATAAAACACCTAACATGAATATTTATCACGCTGTGTGGTTGGAAGACACTTACGTTCTCGTAGTGTTTTCCCTGTAACTTATCCCAACCAACAAAAATATTTGATGAAAACGGACATGGGTTCGAACCACTGGTCTTGCGATCCATAGTTCATTCCACTATCCACTAGGCCACTGTGGCAGCTCGACGAAAGCTGTTCTTTGATGCATGACTGAGTGTGATAGCAATGGTGTGCATGACGTCATTGTTATTTTCTTATGAATAAACATCGACTAGCTGAATCATCACGATCCATTGACGATGTGTGCTGCAGATAAAAACACCGCGCCCAGGTTCAGGAATCTGCTAACCAGAGTCTGAGGCCCAATTTCGCGGACCTACTTGGCAGACATTATAGCTTTATCAAGTTACATAAACAGTCACAGCAAGTCAATCCTGCTTTATGATGGCTGGGAGCTCTTAGCTGTTGAAAACAGCCACTTGACTGAAAGGACAACTTGGCACAGAATGTCTGTTTGCATTGGGTTTCAAGCAGACAATGAATGCTAAATAACAATGTTTTTTGGCCAAGCAAGTCAGAAGTTATACCTCGCACGATTTGTAACGCTAGAAACCTGTATTTGCTGAGCAGATATTTTCCGTGCTTACCAGATTTCTGTTGGCCGCTGTTCCTGTTCACTCTAGTCACTGTAAGCCATAATTTTATGTCGCACAAATTCTTTTATTTTAAGCCAATATAGGACAAAGTTTGTTTGTTATTTTTTATTTGGACTTGAGTGTAGATTGTAGAAGCAATAATTTTATACGGACACAATTTGTAGCATGGTATGTGTGTCATTTGACCGTAAAGTCTCACAGCCAGTTTAGCAAGGGATGCAAAGTGACAAAAATTTATACAAACCCGAATTTAAACCTTTTGTCACACTGATGCTTTTTATTGGATGTTTTGCATAGTAACTTGGTCCATTTCTAACCGTTACCACTCCCGGGTCCTACAAATTCCATCAGAATTTTTTTGAAGGATTTTATAGGATTGAGGAAAGTTGGGCCTAGTTATTTTTTTTTCGGCACAGGGGTTGATGCACCTATAAAGTTTCAAAAATGACTTTGTTTTGTGCACTGTATTTGATTTTGGATTTAGGATTCAGGAATTGTCTATCAAAAGTGCTGCGGGATTTTCGGTGAATTTCTTTTTTGTTTCTATTTATTGATTACCCCACTTGATTAAATCGAGTTGCCAAATAGTTTATGCATTGAACTAACTTTAGATCAAATAACTCTACAAAGATATTTGAATCTGAAATCTATGCATATAGAGTAAATTCTTCGCTGTAAAAATACTGAATTCTGGCATCTTCAAGCAAACTTGAATCCTCGATCCTGATTGGCTGATTCATGACAACAACATTATCCATATCGCAGTCTGGGTATCGCACTACTCTTAGATGCGCACTATGCCTACTGCACGCACGTGTTAAAGGATAATCGCTGGAAAGTTCGTGTACAGGGTGCGCGCGTTCGATCCAGTTTTACTGTACGTCAAGTTGGCTTGAAGATAAATCCGTTTTCCACTCGCGCTCATGAAAAATGGAAAATTTGGTACGTCTGTGTCCCACATACCACTTGGTCTTCAGCCTCGTGGCATTTGGTACTCAGACGCACTACTTTGTTCCGTGTTTCACTCACGCTCGTGGGATAAATATATGACATCAATCTTGTCACCATTATTAAAGCCTGCTGTAAATAGTTTTTAAAAACAACAACAACAACAAAACGGGTTGTACTTTAAATTTTCACACAGCATGAGTACTCTAGCAACTTTTCAAAACTGCCTCAGCCAAAAGAGAATTTGATAGTATTTTTGGATCTAGATTTGAAACTAGCTGCGACTGGTTTCAACAAGATAGATTACATGTATATCATTAACCTTTGACCGTGATGTGTTTCATGAGAACCAATCAGATTGTACCAGGAATGGCATGAATATTCATAAAAAGGAAAGCATCCAATACCAGGCGACTACCTTCACTCTTTCATCCAATCGCAACTGCATGTGGTATCGCTATGGCAATACCTAATTAATATGCATTTTCGGTATCTTCCATGTAGATAGTTTGGTAGTGGTGTGTTTTGAGTAAAAATGAATAACATATAGCTACACACACCAATGCAAGTTATCTTTCAAGTAGCATTAAATGAGATTTGAATTTTCATTTTTTTGGGGGGGGGGGAATGTTTTGCTCGATACATTAATTGTTGAAGATCCCTTTCTGTGTAAATTTAATAACATCTTCATCACTGTAGATATCACGCATCACTATTTCATATGTAAATACTTTGTACATAAGAAAAATACAACGTAGGTTTTTGTTAAAAATTCAAAATGTCAATTTTTCATTTTAATAAGAGATAAAGAGACCAGTGAGATAAGTTGGGAAAAACATTATTCTTGTTGTTCAGTTGTATGTGGGATTTTTTCGATTGAGAAGATTAAATCACCTGGCCAATGTTAAGGTCATATGGACATTTATGTAGGGGGCTGAGTTCTTGCACACTTTAACATAATTAACATCTGCACAATTTTTCTGTTGCTTTCCACATTTTGTTTCAAGTAGTTATGAAGTTTTACTTTTTCAATTGGTTCAGTAATTCCATTTGTTTTAACCCGTTGTCAAATTCCATAAGAAAAAATCTGAAATTATATTTAATTTGAAGTTCATAGGATGTGGTGCTCTAATGCTTGTAGCATAAGTTGAAAAGTTGCATTTTTGTTCGTCTGTTGAATTGTTTGTAATGTTAACTGTGCTTTAAATACTGACGTGACATTACAAACTATGCTTTTTATGCTACAGAAAAGTAGACCTTGCAGCAAAGGTTTCCCCCTGAATTATTTTCATTTTTTGCCGTCAGTGAAGCAACCTTGATAAGCAGAAAAACTTGAGCCTTTTTTAGTTTTAATTTTGTAAAGGTTATGTGTGCAATGAGCAGATTATTCCAAAATTGCACCCGCCAGATACGAACAGTTAAACCATATTATTATTATTTTTGTCAGGCTTCCAGTGATAAAAAATAAATCACTGTATTGTTTGCTTTCATGAAAAGTTCACAGACGACTGCAATATTATGTCAGTCAAAGTACCCAAATGAGGACAATATTATTTTTTTGATATTTTCCTCATCCGGGCATTTTAACAATTTTTGCTGGTTCCCACACAATCAAGAGCGTAGAACCTCACAGTTGTCAACCGGTCAACACAGCGTAGCACGGTACCATCGCACGCGGGCACGGACGCAGCGCGCAGCATGACATACGCTCACTGTTGTCAACAGCAACAATGGCAGCTTTGAGCAGCGCAAAATTTGCTTCGGTAAGCAAAGAATATTCGGTGAAATTTCAGAAATAAAGACAGTGTCTTGAAAGGTATTTCTTGCTGATCAAGTCTGCTTGATATAAATAATAATAATAGTATTGGATGGCTTTTTTTCCCGGGGGATACAAGAATATATTGCACTAGCTATAACAATAGTGCCCTCATCATAGCTCATGCAATATGTTCTTATATCCCCCTCAAAGCCATCCAATATTATATATCTATCTTTAGGGGGGATTGATATGCAAATATCCCTCATGAAATAAAACACAAACACACAAACAAAAAACGAATCTCAGTCTAAGGATTTCTTGATAACCAGACAAAATAAAAAAATTAACATAAAAATGCACAAGAAAAAAATGTCTGCCTTACTGCAAAATACTGTACATATTTAGAGACCTTAAAAAGTTTAAAACCATCGGGTGAAAATCTACTTCGATTCACTAAAATTGTAGGAATAAAAAAAGTTGGATTTTAAAGTAATGTACGTAGTACTGTTTGATACAATGCAAGACATGGTTAGTAGATCAGACAGTACACTTAGTGTATTGTATAGGTATATGAAATACTGGTTCAAATCTGGTTTGAACCAGTTCAAACCAGTCTCTACTGGTTTAAACTGGCCCTAATTAAAGAGGCATATGCATACACACGTTTGAGCGTACGGTTTCTGCAGAGTTTACACTGAAGGGCTGGTCAGTGACATTAATGTACATGTGTGTACATATATGTAAATATATTTTAAATATTGATTACAAATTCCTGGTATTTTAAATAAAAATTTTCTTTCATGATCAACTTCGTGAGACAGAGATGTGCAAGATTTGAATAAAAAATTCTCAATTTTACCCAGTTGTATATTTTCTGTATTTTGTCATATTTGTTTTTGTGAGTTTTGTAGGTGAGGTCTTGTTAAATTTAATTTTACACATGTGTATGAGTAAGGAATGGATTGTAGCATTCAAAGTCCGTGAAAAGATACTTTAATTTTTTTACTTTAATTTTGTTCCAGAATGTCGTTGGCGTGAGGCGATTTTGCCTGATAAGAACTAGGGCTTTTTCCATACCAGGATTTTGTTGTTTATCTTTACCCAACCCACTTTAACATCTAATTAATGACTTTAAATGGAATGTACAACATTTGCTTTTGCTGCAATTTTCAGAAATAAATGGATTTGGAGGAGTAGCATGTTATACAAATATTGTTAAAATGACTTTTTTCACGCTTTGGGCTTGTAGATGTTGGAAAAACCAAGAAAACCAATCCTGTTCTTGCAGTCTTGTTCCCTGACCCCACTTAAGTTGAAACGGAGCAATTTATAGACTTTGGGGAATAGTTAGGGCAGAGAATCAGTCTAGCAGACTTGTACTCCTTCACATGTGTGTAATCAATTGCAAAGAAAATGCGGAATAACTATTTATGAAAATTCAGAGCAGTTTTTGAAAAAAAGCCATTTTTTTCCAACGCTGGTCGGCTGACCAGCGTTGGCAAAATACAATTTTTCAGCACACCAGGAGCCACGATTTTACAGGATGCTTTAGACTGTCATTCCCTAACAATCCAGTAAGGTATTTCGTGATAATTTAATAATTTTGTTTTGTGAAGTTTGCAAATGTTGTATCTTCCCTTTAAGCAATTGGCCAAACCACAGATGGCCAGTCCACATACTCTGACATGTCTGAACACCCAGCTCGTTTTTACTGTACTCATGATAGACTTGCCCCTTTCCTTCTTTTGTTCCCTTATGTTTGTACTCTAACTTTTTCTCGACAGCTCCCAGAAGGTTTGTACAGGAAATTCTCCCGAGGACTAGTGCTCAGGTCTTTGGGCCCATTGAAATCGCACACACCCCATTGTTCCAAGTCCTCAGTCTGATGGATAACCAATCCATGCATACACACTGCACGTATGGACATGGATCTACCGGTAGGTACAGTCCCACAATTCAGGATTTCCATTGTTCTTGCACCATTTTCAACGATTAAAGGGAAAATACAACATTTGCAAACATCAAAAAATAAAACTACCAAATCATTTTGAAATACCTTGCTGGACTGTTGGTGAATGACAGTGTAAAGCATCCTGTAAAATCATGGCACCTGGTATACTGTCATTTTCAAGAAAAGTGGTATTTTTGTATCAATTTCCAACGCTGATCGGCCGACCAGCGTTGGAAAAAAACTGGCCTTTTTCCAAATACTGGCCCCAGTTGACCATCGCACTTGTTTGCAATCGATTAGACACCTATGAACGGGTACAAGCCAGCTAGACTGGTTCCCTGACCTTACAATTCCCCAATATATGTAAACTGCTCTGTTTCTTCTTAAATGGAGTCAGGGAACCAAACTACAGGAAAATGATTGTTTTTCTTGGTTTTTATAGCATTTTCGAACCCAAAACCTCAAAAAAGTCAGTGTAACTATATTTGCTATATATTTCCAACCCCCCAATTCCATCCATTTCTGAAAATTACAGCAAAAGCAAATGATGTATATTCCCTTTAAAAAGAATAATACATGTAGATGGTTTATTGCTAAAAAAAAACCCCAAAAAACAGATTCACGGCATGGCTCCGTATTTGGTCTGATGTAATTCACGAATGTAGCTTCTAATTTGTCCTAGTTTCGGGAAACTAATCTCATGTGATTTGAATGATGGGAAAATCTTTAGTAACAAAAAGTGTAGGGCCGGTCATCGAAATTTCGTTGTACAACTCATTCGGACAGTGCATGGTCCCAGTATAACATTGTCCACAATTTGTTAGAAGTGGACAACTTTTTTAAGAAGTAAGAATGTACACATTCAACAATCACATTTTAGGGATTTCAAAAAAATGATTTATTTTACATGTTATATCAGAAGAAAATTCTAAAAATAAACTTTCACACATGGGTAAATAGAGCACATCTCTTATCAAACAGAAAGTATGGTATTGTCCAATGACCAAAAAAACCAAACCAATTTAAGACTTCATAAATTTTCAGAATTCAATTTTTATATGTAAGAATTACACCTGTTAATTCCGAGGGACAAACAATTGTAGTTAAAAAATGACTTAACGATAATTATTGTTTATAAAGTTGAACAAAAACACTGACTGGAACGCGGTTAGAAACTGAACTACAGATTGCCGTTCCAGTGCTCTACCAACTGAGCTATCCAGCCCCATGTTGGCGGTTCCCCATTTGTATTGGCGCAGATAAGGGACATATTTTGGGGAACTGTGCCTTTGATGATACAAGCATGGCTTTTGGCACACAGTCAGAGTATGTCTTAAGAAAGATATTGCAGATTTGTCCTTTGAAAAAATAAAGGTAGAATTACAAGCAATTTTCAAAATGGCTGCCATTGCTTGTTTTTCTACCTATATTATTTCAATTACAAATCTGCAATGGCCCTATGAGGTTCGTCAGTGACTTCGTCGTACATGCGCACACACCACTGATTACAAGCACCCATGGATAAACACGCAAGTTGCGTTAACTTCCGGTTCCATTCGTGCTATGCACATACTCTGACTGTGTGCCAAATTCCATGCTTTTATCATCAAACGAACAAACTCATCACCTATATGCCGTACTAAATGTCTTTGTTCAAGCGGCGCTAGTCAGAAGCCGCAAACCAGTATGTAGCCAGGGATCACACGCAAAGTCACGATGCTAGCAACATTAGCAATGCTGCAAACCTAGGAAATAGCAAACGGGGATCACACGGAGAGGATACGGCTTTTTAAAAATTAATACTAACCCCCTTGAGTGATTTACTAGGAATCTTCCTCACTCTTGCAAAATTCAAAACCACATGATAAACTCAACACCCAAACTGTTGGACTCAGATTATGGTGGTATGCCTGACCCCATGTAAAGCATAATTAGTTTACTAGTGCAGTACTCACTCCAACAGAATCCAACAAAACATGCAGTTGGATTTTGAATGGTTGGGTTGGTTAGGGTTAAGGAAATTTTATTTTAACACATCAAGGTAGCTATTTAGCTAGTTCTTTGTCACTTTTTGTAACTTTTCCTAAATATCTCAAAGGAAAGAGTCACAAGTATTGAACACTGTGACTGATCCGTATTATTTTACAGGGTCGAGTCCAAACATTTTTAGGGCTCAAGTAACAGATTTTTTTGTTTTCATTTTTGGCAATGTTCTATTTTGAGGAAGGAAATTAAATATTTTTCATTATTTTGTTTAATAATTGTGTTCTGAGAGGTAAGAAGGTTGCTAGCCATACAAACCTACTTGCATACTAAATCAACTTGGACATAGGCCTACACATGCATAATTCGCATTTTCTTTTCATAATAGGTCATATTTATCAGTTATGTACATTAGACATGATTCAAATTCATCGACAGAACTGATGCAAATGATAAGCAACTGGTGGTGTCTTAATTATGTTACAGTTAAACACCCTATACTTAAAATATCTCGGATACATGTATGTACAATATCTCTCAATTTCAGGTGAAAACATATGGAAAAAAGCAAACAAAATACACTTCAGTAAAAAAAAACCCCACAGTATTCAAAGGTTTATCTGTAATTGTTTCAGAGAGAATTTTAAAAAATGAGTCCATGTCATGATGTTGGAATATTTGTGAAAATCATCATGTTGATGGTTTCAAATTTACACATTACGCAACCAAAAACAATTTACATACGGCAATGTTTCGTTCAAGTTCACAAATTCTGATAAGAATTTGAACATAATGGCTCTGAACACTCTCTTCAATCCTCTAACCTCTTCGCTTTTTCAGTTCAAATTCGGGAAAGAAGTGGAGCTAGCAAGACATTCCAAAAACACCTGGAGATGTAGTCTAAATTTTCTTCCACAAAAAAAATAAGAAACAAAATTTCATTTTTTTTTTAATTCTCTAAAATATTCTCATATGACACCACGTTGGTTGAATACTATTCCAGAGTGATATCCACAAAGCAGCTCGATGCACAATTTTGCTTTGCACAGAATGTATTCTTGCTTAGCATAAAAAACAAGACACCAGCTAGGGGACATTTCAATTCATTTCCGGGACGAATTCCGGACAAGTTGTGGGTAGAATCATTGACTTTGTCCGTAACAATCTCCGCATCTGTCCCGGACATGTTCCAGGGAAATTTTCATTAGCAACTGCTTGACTCACTAATACTGATGACTTCATTGCGGGAAGATTGCGGGGAAGTTGTTCAGAATCCTGCAACTTATACCTGATACAATGTCCGCAACTTGTCGGAACTCGTCCCTGATATGAATTGAGACGGGCCGTAAGATATCATGCAGAGTGCATATTTATCATTTTTGACTGGTCTGGTCAGCTTGAACTTATCAATTCGCTAACCAATATTGCGTGCTTAGAGCTCCACTGACTTGTTTGGGGAAGCAGGGGGCGTTCTTTACACTAATTCTTGGCAGGTACAAAAGCCTGAAGTCCAGTGATGCTTCGTCCAAGGATCAGCGCATGGATGTCATGGGTGCCTGAAAATCAACAGCAAAATCAGAATGAGCGGGGAAATATAAGGAACAATGTGCTTTATTTTTCAGGCCTATAAGTAACTTTTCATTGAGTTAAAAGGGAAAATACAACATTTGCAAACAACAAAAAATAAATCTACCAAATCATTTTGAAATACCTTGCTGGACTGTAGTGAATTACAGTGTCAAGCATCTTGTAAAATCATGGCACCTGGTATACTGTCATTTTCAAGAAAAGTGGTATTTTTGTATCAATTTCCTATGCTGATCGGCCGACCAGCGTTGGAAAAAACTGGCTTTTTTTTCAAATACTGGCCCCAATTGACCATCGCACTCGTTTGCAATCGATTACAAACCTATGAACGGGTACAAGACAGCTAGACTGGTTCCCTGACCTTACAATTCCCCAATGTATGTAAACTGCTCTGTTTCTTCTTATATGGAGTCAGGGAACCAGACTACAGAAAATTGATTATTTTTCTTGGTTTTTATAGCATTTTTGAACCCAAAACCTCAAAAAAGTCAGTGTAACTATATTTGCGACATATTTCCAACCCCCCAATTCCATCCATTTCTGAAAATTACAGCAAAAGCAAATGATGTATATTCCCTTTACATCAAGCATTTCAGAATTTAATATATACCGAACGATTTTCCAAGACAAATTTAGGGCTTTCCATGACCAACTCTTCAGCTGTTTTGGCATCTTAGGAGCCTATTTACGATACGCTGGCCAGTCATCACACTGAGGCAAGGGACACCACTCCCTTTCAGCCTTCCAGTTTGACACAAGACCACTGAGCACCACAAAAGCAGCACAAAAGGTCTCTCTCAAAGATGGGCCATCTTTGTAGGAGAACTGCAACTGCGTATTTTATGCAATCAAGCACACATTGCGCAGTGTTGAAAATGTTCCCAACACACGGGCTTGTTGCTCGAAATGTGTTTGAAATATGACGCTGCTGATGCGCATTATGCTAGTTGCTATGCTAGCTCAAAATGCAGATGCACATGGCTGCAACAAGTATTGAGCATACATGCATAAAGACAAAGCATAGTAAACTGGAATGCAAACTGGAAGACTGCCATAGCTAAATGTTATGCATCATCCTGTAATGGGTCGTGCAGGATTCCATGACTTTTTCATGATTTTTTTTCTTGGAAGTTCAATTTTCCATGATAGCTTTATTTTCCAAACTTGTTCCATGACTGGGGAACCCTGTGTACTCCTCCCTGGAATTGTCACAAACTGTGGCAATGGAACAATGCCACCATTTCTAGCGATACTTAATATTTATTGTTTGTAACTAAAGCCATGACAACACCACTGTATTTGAAGAGCGCCCTCTAGTGCTAATTTCTTCCCTCACCTTCATATGTGTTGACAGCTTCCAGGTTCATGACGTGTCTGATGATGTGATACTCGTCTGAGATGCCGTTGCCGCCCAGCATGTCCCGCGCGTTCCGGGCAATATCCAACGCCTTGCCGCAAGAGTTGCGCTTGATCATGGAGATCATCTCTGGTGCAATTCTGACCAAAACAAGAACAGGTAAATTTGCACTTTGACCTGTGGGATTCTAGATCAATTGGCTTCTGTAAAACTTCAACACCAACCCATACAAAGTATTTCTCAAGATATTTTCTGAAATCTTGTCATACGTTTTAACCACAAAAACCTTGACCTTTGACCTACAGGGGTTCAAAAATTAGCAATCTATCAACAAAGACATTGAAAAATGTGGAAGATCACAAACAGATGGCTAGAAAGCTCAGTTGGTATATCAGCGGTTTGGTGAAAGTCAGTCGGTCGGGTTCAATGAGGACTACAGACTTGCTGAAATAAATCTGTTCCTGAGAAAAAGATTACTATAATTTTTTGGTTTTGGTGTTGTCTCTCTTACTTGTTTTCGTCCTTGAGTCGTCCAACTTGAACGCAAGCCTGCAGTCCCAGCGATATCTCGGTCAACATGTCGGCGAGCTTCTTCTGGATAAGCTGGTTCTTGGCAAGCGGGGATCCAAACTGAATTCTGGACAAGGTAAACAATATTGGTTACCAACACAATTTTATACAAATATCTTTATTTCGACCTGCTAAAAAATGCCGTGGGTATTAGGGTTAACCCCAGCCAGACGCAACACGGTGCATCAGGTGCAAAAGTCTGTGGGACCTGCACCCGATTTCACGAAGCGCTGCGACACGTCGCAACTCGAGTTACGACGTGTAACACGTCGCAACTCGCGACGCGTCGTATCTTCCATTTCACTAAAGTTGCGATGTGTTGAACGCGTCGTAAGTTCCTTGACAACGGCTTAAAACACGTCCCAAGTTACGACGTGTCTAGTGGTCATCGCAAAATAAGAAGAGTCATTTCTAAGCCAGTTTTATGCCATAAACATTACATTAACGAGATTATAATACCAAGGCAATGTGTGTAAAGTTGTAAATAGAAAATTCATTGACTAATTATGAATTAGACCGGAATATTAGAGTTGAAATTTCAAAGTAGCTATACAGTCCAATGTGAGCTTGTTTTCCTTCAAAATTGCATCGCATGGCCGCCATTTTGTTTTACGCTTTAACAAATTTCAGGCCGAGATCCGACGACTCTTTGTTGAATATCAGACGACTATTTACTGTACGCTGACGAAAGACATAAAACAGTCACCGAGTTGTGCTATAAATACACCTACGACGCGTCGCACTTACGACATGTTTAGTGAAATGGATCGCAGTACGCGTCGCAGCTGCGATGCATCGTAGAGATACGACGCGTCGCAGCGCTGCGATGCATCGTAAGTTACGAAGAGTTTGATGAAATCGGGTGCTGGCTGCATTTAGCCATAAACACCAGTGCATAAACAGCCAATTCTGAGACAATGAGAGCTAGTCCCATTGAACAATGCCACAGTTGTATCCTGCTGCAGCTGGTGACCACAGACTCTGAGGCAGTTTGCCTTAGGAAGTTTTGGTTGGATCTTGCTACACTGGGCAGGCTTCTCAGCTTGACAACTGTTACTTTTTTTTGCACTGGGTGTGGTTTCTAAGCAAAAAAGACCCTCGATGATAAGAGTTGGCCCCAAAAAATTCAAGGGTGAATATATATTTTATTTAAACTGATAACAAACCACTCAAGTTTTCCTCAAAATATAGCTTCAAGTTTTACTTCAAATTTTACACCAAATTTTATTCTGAAATTTACTCCAAATTTTAGTCCAACTTTAACTCTAAATTTTACTCCAAATTGAGTCAACATTTTACTCCAAATTTTACTTCAAACTCCAACTTTTACTCCAAATTTTACTCCACATGTTATTCCACATATTACTTTAAATATTACTCCAAATATTACCCCAAGTTGGACTCCAAATTGGACTCCAATTTTTACTCCAAATTTTACTCCACATACATGTATCACTCTAAATGTTACTCCAAATATAACCCCAAATTGGATTCCAAATTTGACTTGAACTATTACTCCATGGGTGAGTGGTTACCTGTCCAGCGTGTACTGCCTGGCAGCTTCTAAGCAGAACTCGGCTGCCCCGAGAGCTCCCCATGATATGCCGTAACGGGCACTGTTCAGACATCCAAAGGGACCCTAGAAAGACAGAACAACAAGATCCATAGAATGAATGTAAATGCAATGCCCCAGCTATAGCATCGCCCCACCTATAGATGGGACAGTCCCGTTGGGACCATCCTAACTCTAGTTTAGGACTGTGCCCTAGTTGGGAACAATTGATGCTATAGTTGGGACATGTGTGATTCATATTTTTCTGTTCTACTCTGGTTGCGTGGTGAAATGTCTGCACTAGTTAGCAGGAGGTTCTGGGTTCGAGTTCAAACTGAGTGAATTTTTCCTCAAAAGCCCTAAAAGAAGCATTGAGCATATAATTTATATATGGAATAAATCAAAATATTAAAACACGTTAATATATCAAAAATTCACACATGTGAGGCGTTCTGGCAAAAATAAATGGAACTTGGTACATTGCCAACAAAAATAAATGGTGGTGATTTTTTTTTTTGATTTTGAGATTAAGTGATATCTGTAATCTTTATATGTCTGCAGCACATACTTTAAAGAATTAGTATAAAATCGTGGAATAAAAGTGTTTTTAAGGAAAACAATTGGCATTTTTCATGTTCATGACTACAAAATAGTAGAATGTTGAAAAGCCTTTTCTCAGTATTTTACTTTTATGTCCTTTCAAAGTGTTTGCTTTAAACAGCTACAACTTGTCAACAGAATGTCCGATGGAAGTGCAACCAACATTTTTTAAGGAGAATTTTGTGGGCAATTCCACGGTTACTCACGTTACTGTTTTGATGTACTTTTGAGTTTCCTTGGGCTGTAATAACCTTACTGAAAAGGTTTAATAACTGTTATCCCCATGGTAGATAGAGTAGACCAAGACCTACCTAAGCACCAAAGATGACATCCAGAAAAATGTGTTATGTTTGATAAAAAAGACGCACAAAATTGGTTACTCACGTAAAGAAAATGTAACGAGAGTAACCGTGGAATTGCCGTTATTCTCTTTCCTAATAACCCTCATTTCAACTTCTGCCAACTTCTGTCTCATTTTGCCAGAACTTTGTCTGTTCTACTCACCCCGAGGCCCTGAGCGTTAGGCAGCATGTTCTCCTCTGGTATCTCCACGTCTTCCATCACGATCTGACCCGTCGTGGAGGCCCGCAGAGAAAACTTGCCCTCGATGACCGGGGCTGACAATCCCTTCATTCCCTTCTCCAGGATGAAGCCACGAATCCTTCCGCCCTCGGCTTCATTCTTGCCCCAAACCACGAAGACGTCGGCGATGGGAGAATTTGTGATCCTATCATTCCCAAAAAATAAGAAAAAGGACAATATTAAAACCCTAAGCTCCTAGGCCCTTTTTGCTAGAAACCATCCTCCATCCTCCAAAATCCTCCATAATTTTGCACTTATGTTCAAATGAAGGATACCCACTGCCCCATTCCTTTACAATCCTCCAACAGTCCTGCCTCTCAAAATGCATTCAGCCTCAATCCTCCAAAATTCTCCTTTTCTTCAAACACCGTTCATCCTCAATCCTCCAAAATCAACCGGTTCTGAATGTCCATGTGCCCCCAATCCTCCAAAACTGCATGTTGCATTCATCCTCAATCCTCCAATATCCTCCAAAATCTTCCAAAACTGCATGTTGCATTCATCCTCAATCCTCCAATATCCTCCAAAATCTTCCAAAACTGCATGTTGCATTCATCCTCAATCCTCCAAAATCCTCCAAAATCTTCCAAAACTGCATGTTGCACTCATCCTCAATCCTCCAAAATCCTCCAAAACCACCCGGAGGACTTTGGAGGATTGAGGAGGGTTGGGGTTAAACAAATTGGAAAGTGCTTAAACTTTCTCACCATGACTTGGCGCCGTTCAGGGTATAGCTCTTCCCGGCCGGGTTGTATCGTGCTCTGGTTTCCATGCCAGCAGGATCACTCCCATGGTTTGGTTCTGTCAGTCCAAAAGCACCCACAAGTTCACCCGTTGCTATGGTAATGTAAAAAAAACAACCTTGTTATATACTTTAATAAATGGACTTTGAAATCGGATAACGTAACAGAACAGGTGATCAACTGACTTGTAATGACTTTATTACATCTAAGTCGAAAACTGGTGAAATATTTTTTTATGAATGAGTAATGAGACTGTTTACTATTGCCCCACCCCTCCCTCCAAAACAAAAACAACTCCAAGATATCCTCGTATTTAATTGCAGCAGTCAACACTGAGAATAAAGCTTTTGGACAACATGCTTGAAAACGAACGATTGACCAAGTGTTTGCTGTAGGAGGCTATATATTCACTTGTCCGTCCTTTGTTTTATCCAAGACCACACAAACATCAATGCATTTGGGAGCCACAAAAATAAACATCGTTAACATTAAGATATTCCAAATTAGGAAGAAGTGCCACAGTCATTGTGGACTTTACTCATAATGCGCTGTGAAAATGTACATGTCTGTAGTAAGTTGTGCATTATTTGTTTTAATTATTTAGTTATTATTTTTCAAATTGAGATTGGATCAAATAAATAGAAAATTTTAAATACACCAAGTTTTACATGTGCAAGACTTAATTGCGTGAGCTGGTCAGAAGTTGCACTTGCCATTCAGGAAGTGCGAATTTAAATTTCTCAAATTGGGATATTAAAATGGCTTCTAAGGGGATATGCGTACACCTGTCTACAACTGATAATGAGCTTATTTTTTTTTAGAACATCACCTAGGTTTTGATATACAGGGTGAGTAAAACAAGCAAAACGCAAAAGTCGGGACCATGGTTTTAGTGAAGTTCTGCATATAGCACTTTGTGGAGTGTGATGGCCTAGCGGTTAAGAACACCGGACTCACGTTCTGGTGTTTCAGAGGCAACAGTGACGTGGGTTCGAGCCCGCTGGCGGACACTTGTGCTCTTAAGCAAGGCACTTAACCATTATTGCTTCGTCCTTCGGATGGGACGTTAAGCCGTAGGTCCCGCGTGTTGTATAAATGCACGTAAAAGAACCCAGTAAACACTTATCGCTAAGAGAAGGGGTTTGCCCCGGTGTTTCTGGCCTCCTGTATAAACTCCCACATGGAGTATTTAGGAGAAGAACCAGACAAGAACCAAGAACCAAAATCTAGGATATGAAAGCCCGTTCATTAGCTTTCTTTTAGTACAAGAATGATTCAAATCACTCATGTACTTTTCAAGTGGTTTTGCAAAACTTGAAGGGTTGTGAATTGCAGAAGACAAGGAGGGTTAAGAAAGAAAGACACTCTTACCCAATTTTGGGAGGTACTTTTGTCGCTGTGCTTCCGTTCCGTACTCGTGGATTGGGTGCATGACAAGTGATGACTGGACACTCATTGCCGAACGGTAGGCGGAGTCAACCCTCTCCACCTCCCTGGCGATTAGACCGTAGGCGACTGAGGACACCCCAGCACACCCATAGCCCTTAATGGTAGGGCCCAGGACCCCCAGCTCGCCCATTTCATTAAAGATCTCCCGGTGGAAGACTGCATTCAGTAACAGGTAAGACACATGTAAAATCAGTCAAATACATTCCACTCATGACTTTTCTGAGACCTCACACAAATGTTCGTATATAATCAGATTCAAGTAAGTCTCACTTGGATATAATATGCAAAGACTCTTAATGGTTTAACATACAAATCGGTAAAGTTATTTCAATATTAGAGTAGAGCCATTTGCAGCTATCCAAAAAGTAACTGACCAAATTATTTTTAAAAGGCTTATTTGGTTTAAAGATAGCAATGGCACTAAACTCTCTGTAAAATTGCTGTCAATGCTGTCAATTTGAAGAAAACAATAAAAGAAGGTCTTGAAAGATGAGTCAAGTGATAAATTTTTGGAAATTTCCGTTAGTAGTTGGTTTGCAATTGGGCGAATCCGTAAATTGGTGCGTGCAAACGTTGACATGATGCACACGTGCGCGCGCAGTTGCTATTATTTGTTGGTTTAGTGCGTGACATCACGTAGCTGCAATTGGCTGAATGAGAACCTGTTCTGGATGCTGATTTCCGGCGCAATGCCTGGCACTCGCGGGAAGAGTTTGAGTTTGAGCTATGAGTTTGTGTACTTGTTCTGCATAACCCCCCAAGGACAGACACACAAAGGGAGAACATCAGATCCTTTCAGTCCTCGGGAGTTGGTCTTTTGTTGGAAACAGTCCTCTGTGGTAGATTTGTGTGCTTAGTCTATGGGAGAGTGTTATATTACAGGTACAAAGGAAAACACAAAGCATTGTCCTCGGGGGTATAGTAAAACAAGAGTGTGCGCACGTGTAGTGTGTCCTACCCACTGTATTTTTTTTAAAGTGGCCACAAAGCAACATGTATTGTTCGCGCAATGAGTCCTTACAAGGCCGAAATTTAGAATATTTTTGTTTGGGTTTCACAATGTCTCCTTGACAACTGATTGTAAAGCCACAGATGTAGCCAAGGCTGAAGACCAAACCCACGCTTTCACAAACACCCACAAAATCCCAAATTTGACCAACCTTCATTTCTGTTGCCCATGAGGACCCGAGGCATGAGTTTGTCCTGGCAGTAGGCGTTCATCTGATCGCGAACCATCACTTCCTCCTCTGTCAGGTGACGCTCTAGATTCAACGCATCCTTCCAGTTAAATTGAACCTTCTCGGCTGAGGCTTCAGCTTCAAGGTAAACAGAGTCAAGGGGAATAGGGCACTTGTACTTTTGGGTGTGGAATTTGGAAAGATTCCCATACCTGGACATCACTTGCCACTCTGTGCACAAACCCTATGAGACTGGTCTGACAATTTCTAAGTGTTTTCTCAATAAATGCTTTCCCTGCTAAATTTGACTTTTTTGAGGACATTTATCCCTTTTTGATGGCAGATAGGTCACTGTAGGGAAAAATTAGTGATGGCCAGATATGGGAATCATTCCTGGAATGTACAACTGGTTGGATTACAATGGATCATTATTTTATAGGGTAAACTCTTTGTTTTGGTTACCTCTGACATGAATTTCAAAACTCCAGGGCACATTCTGTGCTCTAATACTTGTGAATTCCAGGAATGAGTATATTTAAACTTCTTACCCAACAAATAAATAGAGCTGTCCCGAATATACCAAATATATTCAATCATCAAATGAACATTCGTATACATGTAGCTTTTTGACGGTTTAAATATTTGAAAACCAAAAAACTAAGCACATACTGTTTACACACACGACTGCGATTTTATTTTATCGTGAAGTTGCGGCGATTTACTGTCAGGTGCCACTTTTATCTTTTTAGCACAAATTTACCGACTGTGCCTACATTTACTTAACCACCTGAATAAATTGAATTGAATCAATGCAATACAAATCACACTTTTTTTTAAATGGCACAACATCAGGTCAAGGATATCAATTATCATCATTGTTCATCTTCATTTGTCCATATACATGTATAATGGGCCTACTTAACAATTACATCTAATCATTTTCAAGGTTTTTAAAATGCAGTGGCTATCGTTACGGCAGCCGTAACGCAATTTTCAACTACTATCGTTACAGCATCATCTTGCTTCCTGACCTAACAGTAACAGTAATCAGTGTCAGGATCTTTGGCTGTTGGAACCAGACTTATCATTCAACCAAATGGTTCTCAGACTTTATTTCCCTTTTAAACAAAAAATCCTCCAAAGCCACGGATTAGGGAGAAAAACAAATCTACTTAAACAAAAAGAACAATTTGATTAAATTTAAAATCATGAAAGTAAACTGTTCTAAAAATATTTTTAAAATGAACAAAACAATCAACAAAAAATTTACAGGGTGGCAGCGGATTTCAACCCAAATCACCGGCTCCGTAGTCGAACGTGTCGAATGTGTATTAAGTCGTCACGTCAGTGCAACAAGGTCGTAACTTGATTCTGCAACAAAGTCGTATCTCTTGCAAATACGCTCTGTTGTCTGTGTAACCATGGAGCTATAGGTCGTATCTCGCGTATCGCGACGTCTATTGACTTTGTGCGTACAACTGTACATACTGGTTATTTTAAGCGAGGTAAGAACTTTGACATTGAAAACGGTACAACTATAGAATGCAGGGCCACTTTACTCTACATCCGCGCCTCCGTACGGCTGCGTGGAGGCGTGGAGCCGCAGTCGACCTACCTCCGAAAATCGATCGTGGAGTCGTGGAGCCGGCCGCAGTCGATATCTCCGAGAATTGCGCCCTCTATCGGTGAGCTTCTCTGCGACTCCGCGCCTCCGCCACTCCAGAGTGCCCCGCGTCTCCGCCGCGACTCTAAGACTCCGCGACTCCGCGCCTCCGCCACTCCAGAGTGCCCCGCGTCTCCGCCGCGACTCTAAGACTCCACGACTCCGCGCCTCCGCCACTCCGGACAGTGCCCCGTCGCCCTCCTCCCTTCCTAATTTGCGAGCCCATTTAAAATGGATACGGATGCTTCGTTCTCAATAAAATTCCGCCGAGAATTGCGCCCTCTATCGGCGCGAGTCTCTGCGACTCCGCGCCTCCGCCACTCCAGAGTGCCCCGCGTCTCCGCCGCGACTCTAAGACTCCACGACTCCGCGCCTCCGCCACTCCGGACAGTGCCCCGTCGCCCTCCTCCCTTCCTAATTTGCGAGCCCATTTAAAATGGATACGGATGCTTCGTTCTCAATAAAATTCCGCCGAGAATTGCGCCCTCTATCGGCGCGAGTCTCTGCGACTCCGCGACTCCGCGCCTCCGCCACTCCAGAGTGCCCCGCGTCTCCCCCGCGACTCTAAGACTCCACGACTCCGCGCCTCCGCCACTCCGGACAGTGCCCCGTCGCCCTCCTCCCTTCCTAATTTGCGAGCCCATTTAAAATGGATACGGATGCTTCGTTCTCAATAAAATTCCGCCGAGAATTGCGCCCTCTATCGGCGCGAGTCTCTGCGACTCCGCGCCTCCGCCACTCCAGAGTGCCCCGCGTCTCCGCCGCGACTCTAAGACTCCACGACTCCGCGCCTCCGCCACTCCGGACAGTGCCCCGTCGCCCCAACACATTTACAAGCACGCCCTCCCTTCCGATCCTTCATGAGAAGCTCAGAAGACAAGTGCATTCGCTGTACTTAGCACTTTTTGCAGGTTTGCATATCTATTACTCCTATCCATCCACGCCTCCACGCAAAATAAAAAACCTTGCTCCGGCGTGGCCCTGCATTCTATAGTTGCTCCTTGAAAACTTGCGTTTCACGTACATGACGTCACACGCCATAGGAGATACGACCTTGTTGCATGGACATGACGAAGTGTAACCAATCGAGCTACCGAAGCGTTCTGGTTGGACGGGTAGTTATGAATGTGATAAAGATTAGCAACAGTAATTTTGCAATACCGTAACGGTAGCAGTTGAAAATCGCATTACGGCTGTCGTTCCGCCGTAACGATAGCCCCTAGTTAAAAAGGATACGATTACGAGTTTGCGTACTTGCTGCCGTTGCTGTCGTGCCTTGGAATCGCTGCGATATTGAGGCAAGCGGACGCCACATCTGTCTCATCGCTAGTTTGTTCAGCGCCATATTTCACTTATTTGTTACAAGTAGACTCTATATTTCAGTAGAATGTTAACGACAATCTCTTAAAGTTTCAAATTTACGAAGATCAGACGATTTCAGCGGCGTTCGGTGTTTCGAAGTCCAAATCCCGTCGTCAGTCACGTAACTTTACTGCACTAGACACTAGCACTGCACACAATACTCGTTGTATAATTGAGTCTGGTACCTGTTGGTCGCATTCGATTCTGCATATCTCAGTCGTGTTTCCAAACGTCTAATTTGACGTGTACTGATGACACTGAAGGACATGTACCTTGACGAAAAGAAGGGTTTTTGCAAACCGTCCGTTTTTCCCTCCGACTAGAAAGTAATGAATATTCATGAATGGAATTAGCCGCTTGATTTGGTGTCAAGAAAAGAAAGAAATTTTGCTGCTGATTTTACTGATTATTTCTGAGGTTGTGTCTATTGGGAATGAACATTTGAGTTTATAGCATCAGATGAGAGAGCTGCTTGTTGACGGCGAAGGAGAGCTGGAATTTGTGGGTATGTTCCCTAACTTGTTTCCCCATCAATTTGATCAAAATAATGTTCAGAGTTTTGTTTTTATTTGAGGGAATGGGAGAGGGCGCTGTTTTGGTGTGTGTTGTTTTTTATGCTTTTTTTGGGGGGGGGCTTTTTTTTTTTTATAGGGGTTGTTGTTTTTGTGAGGTTTTTAATCAACTATTTTCTTTGATAAATTTAAAGTTTTAATATTTATTCATGGAATTACCTTTTTTCGTTCTAGCGCCATATTTATTAACAAAGGGCCTACATTACAACTACAAGAGTTTAAAACTGGCTTGCCTTTGTAATAATGTACAATAGGCCCCCCCCCCTATATGGCATTGGTACTTTAATATCTTGTGTTGTGAAAGTAACTTAACATTTTCAAATTTAAATTATAATTTATATACATTGTATGCATCGTGCATTTGATTGATTTTTTTTTGTAATTTTTGTTTAAATCTTTTGTTCCTAACTAGACTAGTGCTTGATCACCAAGCATGCAACGACGATCCATTGATGCCTTTTTGTGTGCATTCTTTGTGCATACCATTATTTATATTATTTTTCATGTCTTTTAGGTCATACATTGAAGCCTTTTTTAAGCTTTTGCCATGGAATAGTTGAAAGTTCACAGAAAACTGAAAAGTTAAGCTATAGTCCATCATTTGCAGCTATCCAAAAAGTAACTGGCGTAATTAGGCGAAGTAAAAAAAAAAACATGTTTAGCGTCCCCGCCCGCTTCCTTTTTAGAGGCTGCCTCCTTTTTTTTTTTTTTTTTTTTTTTTTTAAAAGACAAAAATTGATAAATTTTAACGATCTCTGACGAGGAAATAGTCAGTGAGTCCAAGTGGCGGCCATTTTGAAAAAAGCTGGTCTCCTCCTTCCTTTTTGTCAAAGAGGCAGGACGCTAAACATGTTTTTTTTTTTTTTTTGCCTTATTGTTGAAAAATATACTTGGTTGAACGATAGTAAGGGGACTAAACTCCCTGTGCAATTATTATTTCTGGCATGCTGTCATTTTGAAGAAATCAACAAAAGAAGGCCTTTCCAACGGTGCGTCTTAAAGTGCGCCACCGTTGGAAATTAAAAATAGTAGTTTTTTTTTTTTATGCGACGAAGCGTGCCCAAGCGTTGGCACGACGCAACAAGTTGTTGGATCAGTGCGCGACTTCGCGTAGCTGCAATCGGCTCAGTAAGAACGTGTCTCGGACGCTGAATTCAGGCCCAATTCAAAACATGATTCAGCAACTTTTGATTTGAATTCGGGATCCTAGAATACTGTTTTTCTCGGAAAATACAGCTGAAGCTGAGCTGAAACTTCATCAGGCTAGTTGTTCAGCACCCTTCTTTAGATTTTGAGCACGTTTGTTGCTTCAAACGAACAAAATGCACAATTTTTATACAAATGATGGACTCTACCTTTAAATGTAATACTAATAAGAGAACCTTTAAACAAAAAAAAGAAAATAGGCCTATGTTTTATTACAAAACCACATCAAAAATAAATGTAGAAAATTTAGTCGAAAAACTTATTAGCCTCCCTATCATTATAAATATTGTGGAGCAGATTTTGTCCATGCATGCATGATGCAACCATGGGTTCATAAGCTCACTCGTATAATTATTTTTGTCACTAGCAGTATTATGTCAGTGCCACTTTAAGTCTCCCTTTATGATTATTCTGGAAGAATTACGATTGTTAATTGGTCCCGTGAAAAGTTCTCAGCATTTATCAAAAAAGTATCAGGACTTATCACAAGTTTATTTGGTCAGCCAGATTTGTTGGAATTCATTCAAGGAAAATCACATGACAAAGTTATCCGCTGTGTTGTTGTCTGATGCAAGAATTTGCATATGTTGCACTTCTACCTAGTTGCCTGGCCCAATTCTCCTGTACCTAGCCTGAAATCCATACTGTTGCCCAAGTCTGTCTGCAATTTTACAGTGTCCATCATTATTATTGGAGCTGAGTGCCAAGCTAGCTGTTATGCAAATAGCTTTGAAGTAGTGCCAAGTCATGTGACAGTTGCCAGTGGTGGTGTTTATGTGTGCGTTGGCACGTCCCACGTCAGCAGGCTTCTTCCACGTCACCATACAATTAGGACATGTATGGCACAGTCCATTCTGTGGAAGGGGTGTGTGACCTTGGGTACACAGGCTTCTTCCACGTCACCATACAATCAGGACATGTATGGCACAGTCCATTCTGTGGAAGGGGTGTGTGACCTTGGGTACACTTTTCTTTTTGTACTCAGAATTTGTGTCCACACACACATAATATACTGATGTACCAAGCAGTGAATTCTCCATTCTGCTACAAATAATTTCCAGACTGCAGTTTTTCACTGAACAGGAATAAGTTTACCTGACAGTGGTGATATTGAAATTGAAAAGAATAAACTAGTCATAGTTTAAAAAAAAAAACAGGGTTCAGAACATTCTTACATAGGAAAGCAGAGACACTGTTGTTTAAGTCTTATCAGTCTATTTTAAGGAATTGGAAGTGTGAATTGCCAGAATTGGATAATCCCATTACTCTCCTGAAGACGGTCAGAGCATACTGACCGGAACGTCGAGTTTATACCTCGGGTTCTTTTCAGAACCATTCTCTTAGTTGAGAAATTATTTGCACATGGTGTTTCCGCAAACCTTTCATTATTTAGTATCTCCACCATGCATTGAAGCCTCAAATCTTACTAATCCCATTACATATAATGCTTTATTTGTCAGTATATTTGTTATCATAGTGTCTTGAGATGGCACGGTTTCCATTCGTTTTTTGAGGAACTTTATGTCAAGACCAAATGGCTGTAGATTATTTACAGTTGTTCTCATTCTGCCGACTTCCGGGACATTTCCAGTTCATTGGATGAAACAGTATGTACCGCCTATCGGTACCAAGGCTGTAGATCCTGAAATGAAACATTGCAATGCATGATGTGTTCCGTCCTGCTCTAGTGATGTTATATTGTGTGCCGGTACTGACGAAGAAAGAAGAAAACTTTCATGATTTCACAAGGTTTACTCATGTTGCTAAATAGAGCCATCTCGAAATTAGCCTATTAAACTTACAATGTACATGTATGTGTATCGGACTGGGTGTGTGAACCTGTGTGATAAACAAAAGAGGGACAATAGGGGGTCCCCGATTGCAGGCAAATACACTATATATAGGCGTATTCTAATGCCCTTTTTTCACCAGTGCTCAGGCTTAACCTCCCCCCCCCCAATATTGTGTAAGTGCCCATTTTTTTTTTAAGAAGTGCCGTTTTTTTCTGAACAATTACGTACGTACGTGAGTGTCCATTATCGTCGGTTTTGAACAGCGCCCCCACCGACCGATCAGGCCCCCCCCCCCTCCCCCTTTTAAAAGAAATTGTACAAAGGCTTAGCAAAGTGCCCGGAGGAAAAAAAGTGTCTACATTTCACCAGGGCTGTGCAAGTGCTCTTTTAAAAAAAAAAACTTACCCCCCCCCCTCCAAAAAAAAAAAAAAATGACCTTGCGGCTACGCCACTGTACATACTTTAATTGTATGCACTTGTGTACATGTACAATTGTACACATTGTAAAAATTTGCTAACCTCCTTGTAATTTGAATCAATTTGGACACTTGTCTCCTTTGTTCAACCATAGCTCCATGGTTCAACATCCTCCATGGTTCAACTGTTTTGAAAAATGATCATATTTGCACAAGTTTCCTTTGTGTGCTATGAGTAGGTCAAGAATGCATGAGCCCAAACAACTTGCTTGAAACTTTGAAAACACAACTGTTTGCTTCTTTATCTGTTAAACTTTTAGGGAACCGAAGTCAGGAAGCCCACCACCCCTACACTCATCAATCATCTGTCCAGTAAAAGCTGCTTATTATTTTGCCCCATGGTTCACTCTGTGCATACGTGATCATTCACCCACACACATAACCAGTAAATTTCGCTTTCTTGGAATTCACAGGGGGGTGCATAACAAATCCATCTGCTTTCCATATCAGGTGCACTACCTCCCCCCTCATGAATCATGGATCATTCCAGTTATGCATGTATGTAAACAGAGCTACCCTAAACTTGTACAAGTCTACAGGGTTCAGTTTATTTAAGACCTTCTGGCTCAGAATTTAGAGCTGTGCCTTAAATTGTCTTTGGTCTAAAAAAAGTGGTCAAGTGAAACTGGATAATTTGATCAAGTTTTTTAATTTTGATTTATGTAGAATTTTACTTTTCATTGCTAACATTGAAGGCTAGCTTGGTATTTGGCATAGAAGGAAAGCATGCAAGGACTTGGACAAGTTTAGTATTTTCAGAACAAGGGACCTCTACTGACTCTGGGCCTGTGTTTATCAACACAGACATCAGGCTTTGCATGAAACGCTGCTGCAGCGCTAGCTAGCCAGTTCAGTGCTAGGTTAGGTGAGCGAGCGATCAGGGGCCCTGTGCTCCATTGTCGGGTATAGACTAGTCTGAACGTTGTTGTTTGGGGCTGGTTTCATGAACACTCTGTTTTGGAGTGCTCATATTTTTGCCTTGTCGGACTGGCTTGTGAATCGTACTCATTACAGCGACGTTTGCTGATTACCGATCAGTTTGTCTGAGTGCCTTGAATTGACATCCACTTTACATTTCTTACTCCGTTTGGCTGTTTTTTTTGACAACCTACAGTCACATTTGAGTCGAGAACTGAAGAAAGGAACTCAAATTTTGAGGTAAGAGCAGAGCCCGATTCTTGTATCACTTTGTGATGGTCACAGAATTAAAACACTTATCCAAATCATTAAAAATCTGCCTTCTGGTTTTAAAAACTCAGTCATGATTGTTGTTCTCAAAACAAAACAGAAAGAATGTTGCAGCTTGACGTCACTTTTTTTCATTATCAGTCGATGAAGGTCAGTCATTGCAAAAATGTTAAAAAAGACATGAATCTGGGACTGAGAAACCTTTCCAATTTTGTTAGAAAATACTTTGAAAATGTTCTTGACTCTCCATAGGCTTTGTACACAACCAGTGATGTGGCGTCTGGATACTACTACACTCTTTCCAACAAAAGTGTTAAGGATTATTTGTCACAGCTTTTGTGCGGGCTCGAAATCTGTTTGTCCTCTTACTGTGTCATGTTTGTAATTTGTAGGAAAAACATGTAAAAGTAGAAAATACCTACCATAAAGCTCTTAATATTATTGTCTATAATTATTGTATATTTTGCACTCTCTTCACATAAAGCGGTTACAGAATTGTTCTGGTTCCAAATGAATAATTAACATATACTTGAACTTGATTCAAAAAGCCGCCTTGCACAAAGATAAATCAAGTGGAACTGGTGTTTTGGGCGTTCACCCAAATTCAAACCGAGGTGCATGGCCATGGACATGTGTGAATTTCAACAAGCTTCTTGAATTGTTTTATTTATGTGAAACTCGGCCTGAATAAGTATCACTAAAAAGTAGACAATGCCTACTTGCTAGAAAATATATAAAAATTGTAAAATTGTTGTAAATGCTTGGTCCTTGATGTTACGCATCGTCAGGTTTTTGTATTAGAAACGCCCATATTGGAGGCATGGACTAGAGGGTCACTGCCACAATATTGCATCAATAGAACTTTGTGTATGAATGAATGCACACTTCAAATGCAGTTCACCCAGGTCCCGAGGCACAGTGGCAAGTTCTGTGAAAAACATGTTTTTTTTACAGAGCTTTTTTCTTTTGCTGCCCCCAAACCACCCTGAATTCTCCAAAGAAACACCCAATTTTGTTAGATTCAGGACTGAATTGGCATATCATTCAATTTTGTGTTACATGTTTAGTGCCAAAAAAAACCTAGTTGCTATAACAGTGGTGGAACCAGGATTTTCCAAAGTGCGTTGACTTGGGTGTTGAAGTCCAAGTTGTTGCTGTTGTTTTTATTGGGGGGGGGGGGGGATCGGTGGATTAGGAGTTACAGTTAATGCGTACTTTAAGACCAAACATGCCTGAATCAAGATTTGCAATATTAAGTGATGCTGTTATTCTGGGAAGTTATGGAAATTAGGGATTTTTCTATTGTCCCGTAAATAATTTTTTTTTGGGGGGGGGAGTCACCCAACCACCCCCTGGGGGGGGGGGGGAAGGGAGGGGATAGTCACCTCAACCACCCCCTGGGATCTGTCTTTGTACTAAATGAACATGACTGCAGTGTTTGGTTTCTTAACTTCGGTTAATAATTTTAATAGTTCGACTGTCTGTGTTTCCAAGACAGATTATTTTGAATATAAAGAAAATTTGAATTGTCATAATGTCAATCGTCATAATGTCAATCGTGAACAACTTTTACACATTTTGTAGTACGAAGTAGTAGGCCTAAATGTATGCAAACCTTTGCTTCTGTGTCCATGTATGTATAACATGTATATTGTTTATTGTGGGAACACTATTTTATAAGTGGATAACACTTCTACATGTAGCCTATCTGTCTGTGAAAAATGCATAATTTATGTATGTGCATGTGCAACATGTCAATCTGCATATTTGTTTGAAAACTTCCACTTCACAATATATTCACTTAAATATTAGAAGTTGGGCAATATATAGTTGGGCGAAGAAGGAAGTCTTGAACAGTTATAGTAGATTTTTTTAATGGAAAAATACCACCCTCGTGACGTCATTGATGTTAATTTTAGTTTCATGAAAGTGATTTTGAAAGCAATCTGGGGCTTTCCCAAAGCAACATTGCGCAAGCTTTCTTTTTTGGTTGTGAGAAACAGAATGAACGTTGCTCAATCACATAACTTCCGCATATTTTTTACAGTAAATTCTCTTTATTTGACTCCGGATCGTGGTCTCTGGATTCAGTTATGGTTCAGTGCCTGAGCACTGTAAATTACTGTATACAGCGCCAGCTCCATGTTGGACCCGTGCCAATTCTAAAGACCGCAATAATATTCCCCCTGCAAATTGCAACCCTGGGATGACTCAATTAGGGTACATTCCCTCAACGTACACATGAAAATTGGGCAAGATGCAGAAAAAAAAACATCTTTATATTGAAAGGGGAAATGTAACAACAAAAAGAAACGAGCCCCTACGTGAGGGAAAAAAAATTCCCCTGCTTGCAACTAGGGTCTGTTGCAATCAACATCAGGAGATGAAGATGTTTATGGCAAAAATACTTTGTCCCCGATGCACTGGAGTGACAGATTATGAGGCCCGCTATTGTGCCGGAGATGGGCTGGCTGCCAAGTTTCCTCTCAAATTGGATTTTGGAGGTTCTCTCTGTATTTGATTATATCCCAGGGCCATAGACATGTCGTGATCATGTTAATGTACGTACATGTATAAGGGTGGCAGTTGTGTCTGTAGTGTTGATTTCTCGCTCTGTAAATATCAGAGACGCATCCCCCTGGCTTTCAAGCCAGGGGGATATTGCGATGGTGTTTTCCTTCTGTGTGTCTGCGTGTGCGAGTTTGTTTCTGCATTCAATAGGGGACATTGAACAATAGAGGACAATAGGGTCCCCAATTCCCGAAGGTCCCCAATTTGGCGATGTGTACAAAACATATGGGAGGTCTTCCTAAAAAGTTAGTGCAAACAAAAGAGGGACAAATGTGTTCCATTTCACTGTAAAGTTCAGTCATTAATCTCATCCAAACTTGAAAGGTTGTCTGTGCAGAGAAGGCCTAGCTACGTCGAAAAAAAAAAGCCTTTCCAATATGGATATTTACGAGGTCTCTGGAGAGCTCAGCTCAGTATCAGCTCAGTACTACTTATGACTCTAACATACCGTATGTTAGTTTGATGTCCCAAACTCTCCATTCAACTGAGAACTGGTACCTGCCGGGTGGACAATCAAGGCCGTCACTGAAAATTGTCCTTACTACATGTAACTGCCTAGGTACAAACTGCCAGGATGTCCGGGGGGGGGGGGGGGGGGTGCGCAAGTTTTACTTGCAGTATTGTTTCAGTCCTCTGTGCTGCATCAGATGAAATTTTGAGAAAATGAAAGTTCTCTGCAGACTGCAGACTTGGCACATCTTTTAAGAAAACAAAATTAATTTCAGAAGCTTTAGCTGCTGTGTGTACTGAGTCGCTGAATAAGCACAACCTTAAGACACAGAAACGTTGCAGCATAATGTGACATTAAGAAAAAAATCAGAATTACAGTGGGGAATGTTTTCATTGCCGCCAATTGGTATGGCTGTGTGTGATCTGAACATGCTCAAGTGACAAAATATACATCCCTAAGTACATGCACATTTTATGTAAACAAATATGTACATAAATAGCTACGTGTACTTATACAGGTAGCATTTTTTGTATATCATCAGAGTTCTAATGTAATTTTTGAATAACTCGGGGGTGATGTAAATTAATACTGATGATGATCAAAGCCTGCTTTTAAAATTAATGTCGGATTTGTTTTGAGTAATTTCATATACTACACTACTGTGTTCATACATCATACATTAAACATTAATACAGTACAAATTTTCCCGCTATTGTTGACACAACACGCAGTACATGTGTATGTAGCAGCTGTACTACACGAATACGTACAAGTACATGTACATTGTACATTTACATGTACATGTACATGTAGTGTTGCACAATTGAATTTGTAGCATTGTTTTTTTTTATTAAATCAATATATTGTGTGATTCATCAGATATTTTGTGACACCTTTGTTTGACTTTATTTCAATGGTTAAATGACTACAAAACGTAACTGCACCTTACTCATAAGAATTCTTCTTTTGTTACGATATCATTGTTCTGATGTCTATAAAATAGAACAAATCTGTCTTGCACATTACAGCTGAATTGGCTAATAATTTCTTGTTGGAACACGTCTATTAAAAGCACTGATCTTATTGTGTGATGATGTTGCCCCTGAAAAATGCATCCATTGTATGCTGATGATGATACTGGATGAGGCAATGGAGCTACAGTGCATGTCAGTTCATGTACATGTACATGTATGGGACAACTGACAATTACTGCAGTGTATGCATACTTTGCCTTCGTTTAAAGGAACCAGAGCATATGAAATACGCGTAGGTTACTACCGGTAGATGTACTGGTAAGTTAAGTTGCATTCCCCATCTTCATCAACAAATTGGATTTTTTGTTCTCTTTTAAAAAAATTTCAACTTGTATGTTTTTATATTCCAACCAAAAAAAACCCTCTCCTTTTTTTTTCTTTTTGGGCGTCTGCAAAAAAGGACTGGCTCCCTGTCACTACGTTATCGATACAGACTGTGGTTGGGAACCAGCCTACCCTGGGAGAACGAAATCATTGTTCAGCTGCCAGTAATATGAAATTTGTAAAGTCATGATTATAAATAAAAGGGCCCTATGGGCTGATTTTTTTCTTTTTTTGGTCTATGTTTCATTCAAAAGTGGATAACTTTTGTATCAATTGCTAGAAACATGGCAATTAACAAAAAATGAATCTTTTTTTTTTGGGGGGGGGGGATGAAAATGGCACGGAGAATGCAACGTTAGCCCTAATCCTTTCAGATACCCGTACTTCAAACTGTCTAGCTGTTGATTTTGGAGGATTTTACAGGATTTTACAGGATTTTGTGCCCTCCCGTCTTGGCAAATGATGACCGCTGAATGTGTAAGTGAAATGGAAAGTTATGAAAGGGGATTGCTTCCCCTTCTAAGCAGCCCACATCATGATTGCGTTTTGGTTTCAATGTGAAGTATTTTGCATTACAGAAATGAAAACTG